GAGAATGGGTCTGACATCAGAGCCGGAAGGAACCTACCTCACAGAACCTTTCAGCTCCACTTCCTCCAAGGGGAAGTGACTGTTCGGTCACTCAGCAAAGTTGGGGCTACTGCTTGGGCTCTGTTTGTATACTACATGCCCTACACTGGACTGCATTCTTTGCACCCATTATCTGTTTAAAGCTCATAGCCATTCTGCCTGGCAATGATTATACCCTTTAACAGAGGGGTCTAGTGAGATCAGGGAACCTGCCTATATAGTGTCTGGGACTGGCTTCATTCAAATAAGACTTCCTGATTCAAAGCCCACACTTTTCCCCAAGTCCCAGGGTCTTGCCTCACCTCCAGTCAACTGATCTAGAGTTATGCAGTGAGGTCTGTGAGCCTAGAAGGGAGGCTGGGGGTCCCTCTCCTGGGAAGACCCCCTCTTAGAGGGCACAGGAGGCAAAGTACCAGGTAATTGAGGGCTGGGGAGGTCTGTGAGAAGCAAGAGGGCTGTAAAATGCAGGGCAGGGGACAGCATTCTCCAACCCAGGCTGGCACACAGGAGGAAGGCAACACCATGGTGTGCCTGGGTCTGTTAGGAAGTACCTGAGACTGTACTCTGGTGTGCATGTACATATGTGCCAGGCACACACACGTATGTGAGCATGTGGGCCTACAACTGTCTACACTTCTGCACACTGGTGTGTATGAACTCAGCAAGCCAGTGCTCTCAGCCTGTATACAGCTGAGGCAGCCTTGCTTTTTTCCCTTTGGTTGGACCTGGCCCTTGGGTAGTTGAATTCTGACCAGATCTTTGTTCTTTCAGGGAAATGCAGGGCTCTGGAACTGAGTAGCAGAAGTTAGATAACTGAAAGGACGTGTAGCAAATGCCATATTGCTACTTGTAGATAATGGTGCACCAAAGAATGAGGAAGAGGGAAAGAGAAAGGCTGGTAGCTAGTGGGGAACCCACAGTCAAGAAAAGTCATTTTGAAGATGGGAAAGAATTACACTTGCCATGGGGAGGAAGCAGGGTGGAGGAATAACTGATGGGGCAAGGTCCCAGCCTAGGCAGGAGAAAACCAAGGGCTGGGGTAGGTGGACCATCAGGCCTTCTGGTCTACACAAAGTGGACAGATGTAGATAAAGGTGAAAAAAAGTGTGTGGGGGGGCTAGTGATCCCCCCTCTCCCCGGGCTAAAATGGGAAGAAAATGATTCTGAGAAGACTCAGGGTAGTGAACAAATGGTGTGGATGAAATGTCAGTGACTAGGTCCCCTCTGGAGAGGGGCTGAGTCCTGGAGAAAAGAGAGGTCTGAAGCTGGGAGGGCAGGTGTGGAGGACTGGAGGTAGGTTCTTGGGGTCCCATTTCTGAAATGGAGTGATTCCCAGTGATGACCAGGGTGAGTGCTTGGTGGTGGGGGTAGGGATTTGAGTGAAGACTTCTAGAGGCCAGGGCAGACGCTGGTGAGAGGGAGCTGGCCCAAGTCTTTGGGGAACCAGGGGATGAAGGACACCACATGGCACCAAGAAAGGGGAAGAGAGGGTCTGGTAGGTGGGAGAGGAAATGGGTGTGAGTAGAACTAGGTCCAGGGCCTTTGTAACTGTGTCTGTGTCTTCTAGGAAGGGGTCTCTTTTCCCCAGCTTTGGGTAAATGCTATTGTCAAAGGTAAATCTCACTGTACCATATTTATAATTAAGGAGCCAAGGCACAGATAGCAGTAAAGTGGGGAGGGGAATACCACAAAAACCAAAAATTAGGTTTGGACTTGATGTAATAACAGTACTTGCAATTTTTTTTTTTTTTTTTTGGTACCAAGACACTTAACCACTGAGCCACATCCCCGCCCTTTTATTTATTTTTTAAATATTTTAAATTGTAGATGGACACAATACCTTTATTTTATTTTTTAATTTTTTAAATGTGATGTTGGGGATTGAACCCAGTGCCTCATGCATGCTAGGCAAGCACTCTACCACTGAACCACAACCTCAGACCCCAACCCTTTTTGAGACAGGGTTTTACTTTGTTGCTTAGAGCCTTGCTAAGCTGCTGAGGATGGCCTTGAACTTGTGATCCTCCAGCTTTAGCCTCCCAGTTGCTAGGATTACAGGGGTACACCACTGTGTCTTGCATTTTTGTATGACTTTTATGTTACCTTACATGACCCTACAACCGGAACCACTTGTGATTTTTTTTTGGTGGTATTAGGGATAGAGCCCAGAGGTGCTCTACCATGGAGCTACATCCTCCATCCTTTCCATTTATTTATTTCTTTATGGTATCTGGGATTGAACTCAGGGGCACTCAACTACTGAGCCATATCCCAGCCCTACCTTGTATTTTATTTAGAGACAGGGTCTCACTAAGTTGCTTAGCGCCTAGCCATTGCCGAGAGCTGGTTCTGAACTCTCGATCCTACAGCTTTAGCCTCTCGAGCTGCTTGGATTACAGGCATTCACCACCATTCCCAGCTCATTTATTTATTAGATAGGGTGTCACTAAGTTGCTTAAGATGGCTTCAAGTTTGTGATCCTCCTGCTTCAGCCTCCAGAGTTGTTGGGATTACAGGCCATGCCAGGCCATTTGATTTTTGATGTTCTAGGAAGTTGCCCATTTGACACCAGATAACAGCTCTGATCTTTGGAGACCCCTTCTCACCAAGAGCTGGGAAAATGTCCACTGTCCACTGCCCCCCCCCCCCCCACACACACACTCAGCTCTGTCAGTCTCTGTTCTTCCCTCCTGCCTTTGGTGGCCAATGTTACTCCTCACACGGGAACAAAGCAACCTCTAGAACTTAAATTTACCTTCCCTTTAAAGCTTTAGTATCTATTGCTCACGCCTTCCCTAGGGTACTAGCTATGACAGTAAATCATTTTATTTTCAAAGACTGTCTTCTGCAATTGATGTCAGTTCATAGCCACAGTAGTAAGAATTAACAGAGTTAGTGTGCTATCAACCAGCTGCTGCAAGTTGGGCCAAAGGTGAGGAATCTGAGACTTGACTATTTTCAGCCTCTTCTACCATTCCCCCACATTCAAGCCTCTGGTGACTTAACCACTTTTTGGTGCTCTTTAGGCTCACAGTGTACGGGCGGCGGTTCTGCATTGCATAGGAGCCTTTCTTCTCCTTTTTTTTCTTTTGTGGTGCTGGGCAAGCACTCTACCAACTGAGCTATATCCCCAGCCTGGGAGCCTTTCTTTTAAGAGGGCACAATTCACACCACAGACATTGTAGATCTGTAGATTTATTATGACAAATTTCCAGAGGGTATCAGTGAAGAGCCTTGAGGAATGGATTAGGACATATGAGGTAGCTGAGTTCTGAATTTCTCGTTCTTTTGAAATGGGGTCTCACTAGGTTACCCAGGCTGGTCTTGAACTCCTGGGCTCAGGCACTCCCCCTGCCTCTGCCTCTCAGTGTTGGGACTAGAGGAGAGTGCCACTGCACCCAGCCAGCCCTAGTTTTCTAAATGAATACACCTTTGAAGGTGTTGGTCCTCTAATTTGGGATGCACCACTCCCTCCAGCCTGTCTGATCAACTTGGTCTCTTACCCTTCCAAGTCCAGTAAAGACACCAACTCCTTGGTGAGGCCTTTTCAATTAGGTGTGATATGCTGTCCTGGCCCTAAAGCCCCTAGCACACACTTTTTCTCACTTCCAGAGGATGTTGCCTGTTCTTCCACCTGGCTGAACCATGCTATTCATTTTTCAGTCTTGCCACATGCCTAGCAAAACACTTAACATTTGCTCAATAAAAATTGCTGAAGAGGGGTTGAAGGAGTAGCTCAGAGCACCTGTCTAGCATGCATGAGGCCCTGGGTGCATTCTGTCTTTGAAAGCTTATCCTAGGATCAGGTTGACTCATTGGAGCCAAGTGCCTGGACAATGCTGTTTCTCGGGGATTGGATTCTTCTACCAGTGTTTGGTTTGTGCCTTTACTTGTATTATAAGACAGTATGTGAAACAGCCTTGGAACTTGTCTGCTCTGTTATGGCACAGATGTCAAGAAGGACCTTGTTTATTACATCTCAGATCTGCTTCCCTAGGTCCACAAATAAAAGTTCCAGGATCCCTATGCCAGCAACACTTTTACTTTTTTTGAGGAATGGTGTTTTTATTTTGCAAAGTCAGTCTATTCACATCTCTCTTTATTTGGTGACTGGGAAGCTAAAAGACAAATTTGTGATCCACTTTCTATGATGTGCACTGCTGTGTACTCAGCTTCCCCATCTTCTCCAGAGTATTTATATTCTAAATAATAGTTCTGTTGTGGCGAGACATTTTGGGCAAGAGGTAGGTGGCAGCACCTGAGCTGGGTCCACAGCCATTATATACAATCAGATCTGGAAGTTAGGTGCTCTGACTTCAATAGGCAGAGGCTGAAAGAAAGCAAGTGGCAAGGAATTGAATGCTCCTGGGCCAGCCAGTTGGGTTCCCAGGGACAACCATGAAGCACTGTCACATCCTCTGACCTCAGGTCCAAAGGGAGCCTTGAAATCTCAGGGAAGGAAGGCTGAGGCAAGGAGAGCATTTAGGAATTAAACTGCTGGGTCAGTAGGCCAGGAACCCTTGGCAGGTCTCACTCATCTTTACATAATTCTAGTGCATCTGCAGCGGTCATCACATAGTGGGTGAGCAGTAAGCACCTGTTAACTGAGCTCCACCTGGGTTTGACACTTCCCAGTTCCTAACGCTTCACTTCATGAGGTTTGAAAGTATGGACCATGTGTCCTACTGAAGGCATGGCTGGTGTAACCAGGACAAAATAGTATCCATTGCCTACAGAGGGAAGCAGGGACCAACCAAGTTGTTTCCAGATCCCTCTTGGCTCTGAGAAAAATAGTCTCAGATAATCCTGGGTCAGAAGGGTATTTGGTGCCTGAAGGAAGGATGCACAGCACAGTGTAGGTGAGAGGGTAGATGCTGGGAGTCTAGCCATAAGTAGTAGTAGTTGAGTCCTCCTAGGCCCTGCAGGACCTCACCCGCTGCTCCTCTCCCACTTGTCTGCAGCTCTGTCGAAGATGCACTGGACACCGGAACACGCCCAGCCCCTCAACCAGTGGCCAGAGCAGCATTTGGATGTCTCCTCCACCACCCCATCACCAGCCCACAAGTTGGAGTTGCCCCTGGGGGGTCGACAACGCTGCCACTATGCTTGGGCACACGACGACATTTCTGCCCTCACTGCTTCCAATCTCCTCAAGCGGTATGCAGAGAAGTACTCGGGGGTCCTGGACTCACCGTACGAGCGCCCTTCCCTGGGCGGCTACGGGGACACCGCCTTCCTCAATGGTGCCAAGGGAGAGCCGGAGCCCTGGCCCGGGCCAGACCCACCCTATCCCTTGGCCTCACTCCACGAAGGCCTCCCGGGAACCAAGTCCGGAGGTGGGGGCGGTTCCGGGGGCCTTGGGGGCTCCCCGGTTCTAGCAGGGAACCTGTCTGAACCCCTATATGCCGGCAACGCGTGCGGAGGCCCGTCGGCGGCGCCCGAGTACGCTGCGGGCTACGGCGGAGGTTACCTGGCGCCAGGCTACTGTGCTCAGACCGGAGCCGCTCTGCCCCCGCCGCCCCCGGCCGCACTCCTGCAGCCCCCGCCCCCGCCCGGGTACGGCCCCTCGGCGCCTCTGTACAACTACTCCGCGGGGGGCTACGCGGCGCAGCCGGGCTACGGCGCTCTCCCGCCACCCCCGGCCGCGCCCCCCGCCCCCTACTTGCCTTCGGGCCTGGCTGCCCCCACGCCCCTGCCCGCGCCCGCGCCGCCCCGGCCCACGCCCACCTCCTACGGCTTCCAGGCGGCCACTCCCAGCGCGGACGCCGGCGTGTCACTGAAGCGAAAGGCGGCCGACGAGGGCGCAGAGGGTCGGTACCGCAAGTACGTTTATGAGCCCGCCAAGGCCCCAGCGGTTGACAACGCCTCCTATCCCGCCGCGGACAACGGCGAGTGTCGGGGCAACGGGTTCCGGACGAAGCCGCCGGGAGCCGCGGAGGAGGCGTCGGGCAAGTACGGTGGCGGTGTCCCTCTCAAGGTCCTGGGCTCCCCAGTCTACGGCCCGCAAGTTGAGCCCTTTGAAAAGTTTCCGGAGAGGGCCCCGGCGTCGGTTCCCCATGGGGGCTTCGCGGTGCCGCCCGTGGAGCCCTCCAAAGGTGTGGACCAGGGTACGCTGGAGCTGGTTACCAGCAAGATGGTGGACTGCGGACCCCCGGTGCAGTGGGCAGACGTGGCAGGCCAGGGCGCGCTCAAAGCGGCTTTGGAGGAGGAGCTGGTGTGGCCGCTACTGAGGCCGCCCGTCTATCCCAGCAGCCCGCGCCAGCCGCGGACAGTGCTGCTCTTCGGTCCGCGGGGTGCCGGCAAAGCGTTGCTAGGCCGCTGCCTTGCCACACAGCTAGGCGCCACGCTGCTGCGCGTGCGCGGTGCGAGTCTTGCAGCGCCGGGCGCCTCCGAGGGCGCGCGCCTCCTCCAGGCCGCCTTCGCGGCTGCGCGCTGCCGTCCTCCGGCTGTGCTCCTCATCAGTGAACTGGATGCGCTGCTCCCCGCCCGGGATGACGGTGCCGCGGGTGCGCTGCAGGCGCCGCTCCTGGCCTGCCTGGACAGTGGCTGCGGCGCGAGGGCAGATGGCGTGCTAGTTGTGGGCACTACTTCTCGGCCCGCGGCTCTGGACGAAGCGACCCGCCGGCGCTTCGCTCTCCGTTTCTACGTGGCGCTGCCAGACAGTCCGGCCCGCGGGCAGATCCTGCAGCGGGCGCTGGCCCAGCAGGGCTGCGCGCTGAACGATCGGGAGCTCGCGGCCCTAGTCCAGGGCACCCAGGGCTTCTCAGGGGGCGAGCTGGGGCAGCTGTGCCAGCAGGCAGCGGCTGGGGTGGGCCTCCCGGGGCTGCAGCGCCCCCTCTCCTACAAGGACTTGGAGGCGGCGCTGGCCAAGGTGGGCCCAAGGGCCTCCCCCAAGGAGCTGGACTCGTTCGTGGAGTGGGACAAAATGTATGGCTCCGGACACTGATGGCGCGCGGGGGAGGCCTGGAAGCCGTCGGCCCTCCTTCCCCGCCTCCTCAGCTTGGCGGGGAATGTCCTTGGCCAAACTCGACTGGGAGGGAGTCCGGGTGGTGAATGTGGGTGGGGGACAAGAGGGCTCTGCCGGTGGATTTGTTTTCCGTGCGAAGGAAAATGCTTCTGCCTGCAGATCGATGCCATATGCGCCGTGTACTCAGGTTTTTCCTATTTATTGTGGACGGGATCTCTCGCCGTTTCAGTTCGGTGGACCGGGCACACCCTGCGTGGGCTGGCACCTGGGCCCTAAGGAACTCCTGCTCTCTCGCCACAATCCTTTGGTCTCCTCAGAATGGCACCCTCCTCCTCCCCCACTCCCTCTTCCGTGCATTCGCTCAGTTTTTTTCTCCTGTCACTTTGTCACTGACCTCCCCATGCTGCCCCTGTACCTCTTCTGATTCTTCCTTCTGTTCCCACCTTTCTGTTTTTCACTCTCTGTGTCCCTTGCACTCCAGCGTCCCTGTGTCTCTTGGTTTCTGTGCTTTAACGCTCCTCCCTGCCTTTTGTCCCTCTCATTCATACTGTAGTGACCATTTGCAGGAGATCTGGAGGCCCAGGTGGAGAGGAGGACGTAGTAGGGAGTCCCCCTGTATCCTCTTACCCCTTACCCCGCTGAAACATTGGGTCTGGGGGGTGAGGGGCAAGTGAAAAAGAAAAAAAAAAAAGCCACCCAAAGAAGGGTTTTTTACTTGGTTTGTTTTTGAGGGGAAGTCCCAGAAATGTAGCTTAATATTTTAGGCTTTTTATTTTTGTAAGATGTTGTAGAATTTGATGTTTTTCTTTTTATTTTGACAACTCAGGAAGAAACTGACCTCAGAAAGAATGTTAGACTTTGGCTGCTCTCCTGTGTGTCCCCCCACCCCAGGGGAGCAAACTTCTAGAAGAGTCAAATCTAGAGAGGCTTGTGGGAGGGCAGAGGAAGACCCCGTGCTCACTCACATCCCTGGCTGTTCCTGGGACAGAAGCAGAATGTATTTCTAAGGGCTTCCTCCCCAGGACCCAGCCAATAGGCACCGTGTGTGGGAAGGGGATGTGGGATTTGAAGTGGGTAGGTTTTCCTCCCTTCCTGTTGCTCTCCCCTCTGGGCCCCACCCCTTAGTTTCAAGTTTTCTGTGCAGGGTTTATCCAGAGTTGGGGTGCCCTTGCCCATTTTCTGCCCTAGGAGGAGAGCCCAGATGGGAAGATGACCCAGGCAGAAAGTCCCCAGAGAGGTCACTTGGCCCTTGCTTTGGCAAAAATCCTCTATGACTTGGGCAAAGAGGATTCCCTGGAGAGGGACGGCCTTTGGCCACAAATATGGTTAGGCATAAAATTGACTACTAGCCGCCGCCTTTGCTGTGAGCTCTGAGGAGGGGCAAGCATCCCTCACCAGAGAAAGCTGTTTAAGGAAGTGCGCCTCCCTGCTCTCCTAGACTCCTGTGCCTGACACTTCAGGGCCTGGAATGGAAGGGTGTTTTTCCCTGAGGATGGTTAGTTTTCATGCCCCCAGAAATTTGCCAGCAGGCTTGGAGCTCTTCTTTGAGAACCATATTCCTCTCCTTCTTGGATGGGGCTTTAGCAGTTTGCTCCCCTCCCAGTTTTCACAACTCTGATTTTGGTTCAAAGGGGGAACACCCCCCACCTCCTTCTCTCTCTCCCACCCCAGCCTCCCCTGCCTTTGCTGCTTGCCCTACAGCTCCTATAGTCTGTCACCCTATTCTCTTGGCAGGGAGTGTGTCTGTGTGGGACACTTCAGAGCCAGAGCATTGAGGGCCCGTGCTGCCTAGGAGTGCTAATAGGAGGGCTGCTGTGTGTTCCCCCTCTTCACCCTGGATCTTTCTGACCCTCTCTCCTTGAAGCCAGCCTATCGATTCGCAGAACATTGGTGCCTCAGAAGCTGTGGCTGCAAGGTTTTGCTCGGAAAGAACCTTAAAGGGAGAATGGAGTGAGGGGATTCGTTCTCAGGTGTGGGTGGGGTGGGGTGGGGAGTGGAGGGTGGCGGGAAGTGGGGTTGGGATCCCAGCCTTCCCTTCAAGGCAGGCAGCCCTGGAGGTGGGTAGGAGCTTGTTGACTAAGACCCAGGGCCCCCCGTTGCTTCCTCTGCTGGGCCCTTTCTGACCTCCGGGCTTGGGGAGCATTGCACAAGAAGACAGCCCCCAGTCTACCGGCACCTACCTCATAGGCATAGGGCAGGAAGGGCAGGGAAGCTCCAGCCCTGGCAACATTGGGGGGGGGGCATACCAAAGAATCCAAGGGCAGGGTGTGGGGGAGGGCAAACTGGCCCTCTGCTTCCTCTACCCAGATTGGGGTTGGAATCCTCTCCTCCAGCTGTAACCATTTCTACCTCATTTTGCTGCGTGTTGTACATGGACGTATTTATCTCCTGTCTGATGATGCTCTGCAGTTGTGGTCTGTCTACCTCAGAAGAGACTGTATTTTAAAAGAAAGAATTACACAGTATTAAAGTGATGACATATGGTTTCCAGAGGATTTCTTGGGGGTGATGGGATGTCGGGAGTCCTCTGAGAATGCTTGGGCCCTCAGGTCTGCCAGTATCCTTGCTGTGGCTCTGTGGATATTTCTGTGTCTTCAGCAAAAGTTATTTGGGGGACTTTGTCATTCATTCTGCATAGAGAATGCTCGCCAGGCATTCAGCCTCTCAAATGCTAGGCAAGCACTCTACCACTGAGTTACTCCTTCAGCCCCAATGCCAATCTTTATATTCTCACATTTGATACACCTATTTAGTGCATAGCAGACACTGTTGAAAAAAGAGTTTGTTGAATAAATTCTCTAATTTCCAGATCAGCGTCCTGATGAATGATGCACAGGTTATCTCAAGAATGCCCAGAAAAGATTCCAACCAGTGGTGGTGATAGAGTTTCAGGGATCTTCCTAGATAGGAAGGATGGCCCAGAAAAGCATGAAGGCTGGAAATGATATCAGCATCTTTTGTGTGGGACTATGCAGCAGTGTGATTTTTTTTTTTTTTTAATCCAAGAGTATGAAGTAAGAAATAGGCTCAGGAGGGGTAGGTAAGTGAGATTGGAGAAGTCAGCTGGGACTTTACCAGTAGAATCTCCAAATTCTCTGTTAAGAACTGGGGCTTAAGCCCAATGACGTGCCATATGCCTGTAATCCCAGCTACTTGGAAGGCCTGAGGCAGGCCAGCCTGGGCAATTTAGTGAGATTCTGTCTCAAATAATAAAAAGGACTGGGGAATGTGGCTTGGTGATAGAGTACCCCTGGGTTCATACCCATTATGGCAGGATGAGGGTGGGGAGAAAAGCTAGAGCTCCACAAAAAAAGTATGGTACATATGTGGTGGGGAGGTTGAAGTGGACAGAGGACTGTTTTGCAAGTTAAGATTTTATACATTGATTCAACAAATCTAAATCCCTCTTACCTGCTGGTTGCGATGGGGACAGTGGATACACTTCACAGTCTAGTGGCTGGATCCAGGGTGGTGTCATCAGCATCCTTTGTGTGGGTGGTCAGCATCAGCTAGTCCAGTGGGCGAAACAGTGGAAAGGCAGAGCTGCACGGTGCTGGGGCAGGGGCAAGCAGAGGGGTGCTTATGGAGTCTGGGCTAAGCAGTGTGTGTTTGCCAGTCAGGGAGCAGGCCAGGGATACTTTTTAGGCAGCCTAAAAGTACCAACCAAGAGCCAAAGGAAAGCCAGAGCCAAGCTTTCTTGGGGGGAAATAAAACAAGTTTAGGGAATTGGAGCCCCAGTGTGTGTGGAGGATGGGAGACCAGAGGAGGTGCTTATCTAATTAGGATGGAGGCAGAGCAATTGTGCAAGAATGAGAAAGGACAAGGTCATCCCCAAGAGAATTTAGGACTTGACTGGGTATTGGGGATGATGGAGAGCAGGGGTGTCTAGGGCTTCTTGGTGGAGGGTGAGGGTGTGGTAAGTGAACTAGAAAAGGAATTGGCCAAATTTGAAGATTAGCGAGAATAAGGAGGTGGCCCTTCAATATAAGGGCCCAGAATCCTAGCCTTCTGGGGGCCCATCCCACCCAACCCGTGGCTATCACAGATCCTTTCATTGCAGTTCCTGGGCTTAGTGAGTCTTCCTTCCCAACCAGTCCTAGTGTTGGAAGCCCTTCTCCTCATCCTGGTGGTTGGGGCCTCTAGCTCATAGTCCCTGAGTGTTAAAATCTATCCCCACTCCCTGTGGCTCCGAGACCCTTCCTGCACTTCCGTTCCTGAGGGTTCGAAGTCCCCGCCCTCCCACAATCCATGGGAGTGAGGACCCCAGCCTCCGCCGGCATTCGGAGCCCCTCCCAGCAAAGGCTGAGGTCCTGGACTTGGCCCTACGATGGGCGCTCTGGCTCTGGGGCTGGCGCTCTGGGGCTGGGCGCTGGGTCCTGCGGGGGCCCTGGACGCCTTGGGCCCTCACGCGGCCGTCCGTCTGGCCGAGCTGCTGACTCCGGAGGAGTGTGGCCATTTTCGGTCACTCTTGGAGGCGTCAGAGCCCGACGTGGAGGCCGAGCTGGCCCGGCTTTCCGAGAATCGTCTGGCGAAGCCCAAGCCGCGAACACTCATGTCGGGGTCTCCAGACCAGCTGTGGCGGCGGGAGGCGACTGAGGTCCCGACGAGCCAGGTGACCGAGCCCAAGAAAGTTTCCGACGATTGCCGGGAAGCCCTGGCGTCCTGGCTGGCTGCCAAAGCCCTGTCCCTGTCTTGGGACCGTGTGGCCCGGGCCCTGCGGCGTACTGGTCGCCCCGATGTGGCCCGGGAGCTCGGCAAGAACCTCCACCAGCAGGCGACGCTGCAGCTGCGCAAGTTCGGGCAGCACTACCTGCCGCCTCCGGGAGTCGCCGCCCACGTCCCCGCCGCGGCCCCGCGGCCCCGGCGCACCTTGGATCACGCGCCCAACTGGGACGAGCTAGAGCTGATCGTGGAGCGCCTGCCGCAGCCCCCGTACGAGCGGAGCCCCGCGGGCTGGGCCGGGCCGCTGGCGCTCGGCCTCCTTACAGGCTTCCTGGGAGCGTTGGGCTCCGGGGCTCTGCTTATCCTGCTCACGCTGTGGATCACTGGCCGCGATGGCGACCCGGCGCGGCCCAGAGGCCGTGACCCACCCACCATGCCCTGGCCGAGGCCAGCCGAGGCGCACCGCCGGTGGGAAACAGAGCCGCTCCTGACTAGGGAGCCGCTCGCGTCCCCAGCCCACCGGGCTCGGGTTGCAGCTGAGCCAGATTGCCCCTCGCCTCCATACCCCCCGTGGTGAAACGGGAGCACCAGGCTTTAGGAGTGCTGCCTTGGATGTTTGATAAAAATGTTACAAAATGCCCAGCGGAGGCAGCAGTTGGTTGTCGGTTGGAAATGCCCAGCCTAGCCCGTGGACTGCAGATGGAACACCAGGGGCGTGCCAGTCTCGCAGGGTGGGGGCGGACCTCTCACTTCTTAACAGCCTTAGTTCTGCCTTATCTTGCAGTTTTTCTCCCACTAAGAGCCACCACTTATTGAACACAGTCTGTGTGCAGGGCTGGTGCAAAGAAGTTCTGTACATTATTTGATTTTCTCCTCCAAACCCAAGAAGGAAGGTATTTCTGTTAGACATCAGGAAACCCTGCTCACAGTTCCTTAGTGCCATAGTCAGGCTTTTGAACTCAGAACCACTGACCTGAAAATTTGAGTCCCAGAGGAATGGTATGTGCCGGATGAGGGAGCTTGAGACACACCTGGGACCAGAACAATATGCACAGCTGCCCTGGGTTTGCTCTGAGGTGCTGCTGGATTGTGCAGGGGCAGTGCAGGGAGAGGGGCGCCCACTTGCAGAGGCTGCTGCCTACCAGTTGCCCCACTCAGGCAAGGCTTCCTGAAGTTCCAGCTGGAGCCCAGGACCTTTCCCACCCACTTCTGAGTCCAGGGCTTAGGAGTGAGAGCCATGACAGAATGACAGGCCAATCCAAGAGGAGAATTGAAAACAAGATTGACGTAACCCTTTATTGCAAATTCTAAAGTAAAAAGATGTACAGTACAAAGTAAAATTGAAATTTCAGACTATAAACCAATCCACTTATACATTCTCATTTCTTAGCATTTCTGCCATTTCCGCATAAACAGAATAGGGAACAAGTCAAGGGGATGAGGGAAGGAGGTACAGCAAGGGGGAAAAATGTGGAGAATAATCAGAAACCCCAGAAGCAAGTGAAAGGAGAGACATTTCTCGACCTGCTGTTCTGGTGATGAGAAGCGGGGGTGGTTGGAGCAGTGCAGTTTAAAATGGCTCTCAGAATAGCAGCATTTATGGTACCATTTCATCTTCCTTAAGTCCAAATAATACTTTGCCCTTCCCTAGTGCCTTTGCCTCTGTATCTCAAAACGCTTTACAAAACATTTAGTTAAAGCCTCACAACACCCCTGTGAGGTAGGTCAGTATTATTATCCCCATTTTACAGATGGGGAAACTGAGGCACAGAGAGGTTAAGTGACTTGCCCAAGGCCACACAGCGAGCCAGTGGTCAAGCTAGGAATAGAACACAGGAGTTCTGTCCCTTTTCTGGAACCACTGGACCACGCTCCCCTTTACTTATATACACTCTTCACACACACACACACACACCACATGTGCACACCCGCCCACCCCACCCCACTTAGCCTCTATGTACAGCAAACAGCAGTGGGGGGCAGGGGCAGGGAGTGCCTCAGGAGCATTTTCATAAAGGAAATCTTGGTAACCTTGAAAAGGGAATCCAAGAAAGCATAGAGCCACAATGAAGACTCTGGTGCAAATCTTGGGCACACCCCCCCAACCAGATTTCCTCTTCTCTCCTGATGTCCCCCTGGTTGACTAGTTGCAGCTGATTCTTTAGGGGGTACCTGAAAATGAATGAAGCTTTTTGCAAAACTTTGGGCAACATCTGAGAAAAGAAAAGAGGCATCAGTACAAAAGATGCCCAGGACTCCATAACGCATGTCAATCTCACAGCCACAGCAGCCTGGAAGCTGGGGCCCCAGGGGCCGGGAATGGGAACTGACCTACCAGCCACATCTCCAGAGTGGAGCTACTGGAGCGAGCTAAAGTGGGCACTTCAAGATCCTCCTGAGTGTTCCTGGACCAGGAGACACAGCCTAGAGGGGGGTGTCTCTAAGGGGGGTGCCCCCTTGCACAAATATGGACAGAACTAGTCTGCTGGTCTACCTGTGGGGGTGATGGAGGGCAGGGCCCAGCACGAGCTAGCAGAGCAGAGGCTGTTGGGCATTTTGTGCTTGCCCTAGCTTTGGAACATGGGGGGTATTTTTTTTTTTTTTAAACACACTGATGAAAAAGGCAGAGGTGAGGCCAGTCCAGCTGGGTTGGCTTAAGTCATAGCTGAGGGCTCCGCCAGGTGGATTAGGTGAGAAGGGAGTTTTTAAGGGCCTCTAAGCACCAGCCTGGGGTGTGGGTACCACATGCAATGGTTCAGTGGGGATCTGGGAAGGTGAGGACCTGGCTTTTCTCTCCAATCTCAGTTTAGCCAGAAATGCGAGACCCTCTGGTGTCTCTCTCTGTCCCGTTCCCCTTCTTTCCCCAAATGTGCTAAGGTCCCAGTTCCCAGACCCCTCCCGGACTTAAGAATTGGGACGGTCAACAACAAATGCACACCAAGACAGGCTTCCCTTGTACAGTAAAAAGGGTCATTTTTATTTTGTTTCCTTTTGGCTTATAGTGATGTATTTTTTTTTAATCACGTCTCATTTAGGGCAGCGTTGGCCTCCATGCATTCACTAATACACTATTGGTCTTTTACAGTTTACATTGGTTGTGGCGAAAAAGAAAAGAACCCCCTGGGCACTGTGGCTCCAGGGGCTTTGACAGGCATTTCTGTTTCTCTGCCCCAGCAACTTCTGATGCCCAAAGCAGCTCACTGAGGAAGGAGCAAGAGAAGGTTGTGTTGACTTGGAAGTTTTTTCTTTTCTCACCCTCTGCTTTAAATTATGGACTCTCCTCATCCTAAGCAATAAGGAGGTTAAGGACAGAAGAGGGGGTTTGGAAAGTGTTTTTCACGCACAAACCAGCAACCATGGCAGCTGCTGCTCAGTGGCTTTGGCTCTGCATTTTAAATTAACAGCATCACACATCTTTTTGCTTTTTGTCCTTTTTTTAAAGGTGGATTGTGGAGTATAAATACTGCACCAAGGACCCGGCTACAAAAAATAAATATTTATATTATATTTATATATCTATATATATATATGTGCAGTGATACTGTGGCTGCTGCTGCTTTTTGATTGGCTTTGTTAATATTTGGCAAAGCGCTGCCACTCACTCACCCAGTGAGGGCGTGCAGAACGCCATCGCTGATTCTTTCAGTTCAATGCCTGTTAACTGCGGGTGTAAACTGCTGGTGATGGTGTCATTTACTACCAAAGAGGTGTGGAGCAGGACGGGTGAGTGAGAGAGTAAGTGAGTGGGTGTAGGGATAATGGGCGAGGGATAAGAGGTGGGAAAAGTTAGAAAAGAAAAGAAAACCACAAAACTTCAGATACAGCGGAGGTGGCTTCTTTCCTATGAAGCTGGCTGATGGGTGTCAGATACCAAGGCCCATGTGTTACTAAGGAGGTGGCCCGCTGGGCTGGGATCAGGAGTGGAGGGGAGGAAAAAGGTCAGATCTCAGAAAAATCTCATTAGTAGGCTCTAGTAGCTTAATGACATCACTAGCATGAGCGCTTGTTGTACCTAGTGGGACTGGATAGCTCTGTTGTCCATCTCAAGACCTAAGAACAATTAAGTTTAGCCAAATCTTGCATAGAAGTGGTTAGAATTTATTGCACATTGGAACAAAAATATATACTTTTAGTTGTTTTGGAAAAGACCAGTAGCAATAAAAAATTTTTTGTCTGTCTGTCTGGTTTGGGGATGTACATTGGCTGACAGCATCTAAATTCTAAGAAGAAAAAAAAGTATAAAAAATAAAAATAAACATGACAATGGCGTAAGCCAGAAGCCATTTCCTATTTAATAAGTTAATTTGTATTTACAAAAAGGCATGCCAATAAAATAAAATTATATATTACAGTATTTATAATTCTCTTAAAAATAACCACACATGTCAGCTTCTGTTTTGTGCTGTTTACAATGCAGCCTGTACATGGTACTCTACATTCATCCTAGCAGTCAGCAGGAACACTGAAAGAGATGCCTTCCCAACCTGGTATCAGGTGTAATACAAAACTCTATGGATGGCCGCAGAAGCAGGCTTAAGAGAGCTGGACAGTTTCTAATGGTCCAACAAGAAAGTTCTGCTTACTGACTTGCTGTGGTTTGTTCTATTCAAAACAAGTCAAGTGGACTGTGAAACTACATCCAAAGTACATCTACTGCAAGGCAGATTGGTATGTCTGATTATGGGTTGGGTTTTTTCCCCCTCTATTGTATGATTCAGGAAGAGTTTATTTTGATTTGATTCCCATGCTAAAGTCTTTCCTCACTCTTCAAACAGACTTCCTGAAACATTCAACTGCAGCATGTCGGCTTTGAAACCTAGTCATCAGATGAGATACCCCTGGATTAGCACTGTCATCCATAGGGTAGGAGATGGAATGAAGATGACACTCCCCCAGAAGCCACCCTCCAATGACAATGGGCAGGTCTTTAAGCAGAGAGCAAAACTGGCTGAGAGGGAATGTGCTGGGGGAAGCTGGAACACCCTACAGAATTAATATTAAGTCACTTTCTCATGAAAACCAGTGCAGTAAAGAAACCAAGTGGGCTTGGTTCAGAGGCGGTTTCATCTACACCTCAGGTCCCAGCAGTGACTGTTGCTCTAGTAACAGTCAAAAGAAACCATAGCCATACCCCAGTGCTGCAGCCCTCACCCAGCCCTGTGAGGGTGGAAAGGGAAGCCCTGCTCAGTGGGGAAATGTGATGGAGGCAGGAGGACAGTTTCTAATGGTCCAACAAGAAAGTTGTGTGCAGGTGTGAGCTTGTGACAATCCCTCTGGACAGTTCAGAAGATCTGAACCCTTCTCCATATTGACCCAAGCCCAGAGAAAGCCACAATGCAGAAGGGCATGAAACTAGGTGAAGTGAGCACCCCATGACCCCCAACAAAATGTCATTTTAAGTTCTCCAAAATACCCCCTAGAGATAACATGCTACCCTGAACAGCACTTTTATCTCTACCCCATTTAAGTGTCAGTTCTCCAGTATGAAGGCTAAACAATCATCATAAATATTGCAAAATACAAATGAACTTTTTTTTTAGCCCTAGGATTTGGTTTTACAGTGACATTAATAGTACAAGCCATTCGGGATCAAAGTCTCCCCATGTACTAGACACAGAGCAGCATTAAATAGTTCATCTTGCAAAATGTGCAACAATGGCTGTATGTTAGAGATGTTTGTTAAACAAATACACGCAACGGATCCATCTGCTTGTTGGACTGGGATTGTTTTTTGTTTTTGGTGGTGGTCAATTGATTGACTGTTTCCCTACCAGAAGGTGTATGAAACACTTATAGGAACTCATATAAAGAATTGCAGCCGGTATGGAACTCTTACCATTTTCTCCAAATACAGTGAACGGTGCAGGGCTGGGTCCTGTCCAAAGGCTGACCCAATGCAGGGGACAGGATTAGTAGTGTCCTGTGGTGTATGGATCTCATGCATGACTTCTGATCACGGCATGCCATCATGCAAATCATTTCTACGCATTGAACGAGCACAATGTTTGGAATTGGCCTGAGCAAGTCCTCCTCAGCCTGAAAAAACCTGATTGTTTTCCCCCACCCATCTCCAAACCACGTGAAGCCCATGTGGAGAAGATGCGGTTTATGTCAAAGAAACTGACAATTAAATGACATGGGCTAAATGTGAGTGTGTGTGTGTTTTCTTTTTGCTGCTTAGCTTAACTAATGTAAGAATGCAAATATAGTTTGCATGAACAAACAAATTTTTAGAGTGATGCTTTCTGCTTCTGAGAATCAACAAAATGAAAAAATAAAATCCATTTGGCTGCAACGGAAATATGCTGGTCCCGGCAGCCTCTCCTGTTTTTGTATCCTGTTAGTTTTGTCCTAAGTTGCATTGACTGAATGTGGAACATGCAGTAACCACCTGCCCAAGCAATAGAAAATCTGTGAGTTCAGGGAGCAGGGTCCTTTGCCCTTGGCAGGTCACTGCTCAAGATGCAACTGTGTCACATGGTAAGCAGACTACATTTGGTATAGTTCTTCAGGTTACAGTGTCTCCACAGCTGTTCTGCATTGATAATATTCAGGAAGTTTGTAAACAATCTTTCACTTGCAAGTTTTAAACTGATATAACATTTCATTTTTGCTCTCCTCTAACATTTGGATTCTCTGACCTCTTTTTGTCTTTTGGCTCTTTCCCTTCTTCCTTCCTCTGCCCGCTGCTGTTTCTCTTTGTCAGGTTTAGTTACACTGTCATAGGATGGGAGGGAGGCTGTGGAGGGGGTGCTCTCCTTTTTCTCCCGGTGCGTACCTCCATTCTCAAGCTTATTGGAAGTCATCTTTTTGCAGATGAAGCCCCGCCTTGCCAAATGTCCCCGGTAGGCGCGCTGAAGGACCACTGCAGACACCTCCTCCTGCTTGCGCCGCAGTGTGGTAGTGATTGGCTCGTAAGACACTTTGGAAGGATTGGATGCCACGAACCTCTCCTCCATCTGCTGCCGCAGGATGTCCAACTCCCCGCTATCTCCCAGGACCCGCTTGGTGAAGGCAAAAAGGATGTCCAAACAGTGGATGCGATCCCCGCTCACCATTGGCAGATCCATGGCAATGAGCTCAATGGTGTTGGGCTTGGGCACTCGGAGAGGATGCTCCAAGGCATCTGCAAAGTCTGCCAGCTTACAGTACTCGATGAATTGGGTGGCATCGGGATCAAACTTCTCCCAGATCTCATAGAAGGTCTCAAAGTCATCCTCACTCAGAGGGTCTGCACTTTCTTCTGTGGCTACGCTGAAGTTCTCTAAGATTATAGCAATGTACATGTTCACAACAATGAGAAAGGAGATGATGATGTAGCTTACAAAGAAGAAGATGCCCACTGAGGGGTTCCCGCAGTCACCCTTAAAGCCACTCCCTGGATGTTCCTTGTCTAGGCTACAGTCAGGGGGGCGGTTTAGGATGGGCAGCAGCAGGCCATCCCAACCAGCTGAGGTTGTGATCTGAAACAGGCAGATCATGCTGTTGCCAAATGTCTCAAAGTTGAACATGTCATCAATACCAGCCTCGTGCTTCACATATGCAAAATTGGACATCCCAAAGATGGAGAAGATGAACATGACCAGGAAGAGCAGAAGACCAATGTTGAACAGGGCAGGCAAGGACATCATTAAGGCAAAGAGCAGGGTACGAATCCCTTTGGCGCCTTTGATCAGACGCAAAATACGCCCAATACGGGCCAATCGGATGACTCGGAACAGGGTTGGGGAAACAAAGTATTTCTCAATGATATCAGCCAGGAACATTCCTAAGAGAGGAACAGAAGAAGTTATTTTTCTGGGATTAGAGATGTCCATTTTCTTCTTCTTTTTTTTTTTGGTACCCAGGGATTGAACTCCGGGGCACTTTACCCTTGAGCCCCATCCCCAGCCCTGTTTTTATATTTTATTTAGAGACAGGGTCTCACTGAGTTGCTTTGGGCCTCGCTAAGTCACTGAGGCTAGCTTTGAAACTCACAATCCTCCTCCTCAGCCTCCTGAGCCACTGGGATTATAGGCATGTGCCACTGCACCTAGAAAGCCCTTTTCTTTTTTTTTTTTTACCTAGCTGTGGAACTTTTAAGTTCAAAGTGCTTGTAGAATGAGTTCCTTATTACAGAATCTAAATTCTCAAAATAAGAAGACATTACATGTTTCAAACATCCAGAAAAGTAAGTTGGGCAGAGTGATGTAACAGTAATCCCAGCTACTCATAAGGCTAAGGCAGGAGGATTGCAAGTTGGAAGCCAGCCTATACATACTTAGTGAGGCCCTGTCTTAAAATAAAATAAAGGATGAGGGTGTAACTCAGTGGCAGAGTACTTGTCTAGCAAGCACCAGGCCCTGGGTTCAACTTCAGCTCTGCAAAACAATGACAACAACCAAAAACACAGAAAAGTAGAGAAAACTGATATAGACAACTATGTGCATGACAAACAGATTAGCATTTTACAAAATTTGCTCATTCTCTCTTCATTCTCAGAAGTATCCATAATATTTAAGTATCATTTTACTATATAGTTTTACTATGTATGCATAAACCCATAAATATTACACAGCATTCTACAATGTTTAGGAAATTATACTGAATCTTTTTAGAGCTCCAGCTTGTTTTTTTTTTTTTTTTGTGGGGATTTAATCCCAGTCCTTTTCATTTTTTATTTTGAGACAGGGTCTTGCTGAGTTGCTGATGCTATCCTTGAACTTGTGATCTCCCTGCCTTAGCCTACCAAGTTGCTGGGATTACAGGTGTGTGCCATCACACAGCACTTGTTTTAATTTGTGAGATTGATCCCTTGTGTTAAAATAATTTTAGATTATTCACTTTAACAATTGAATGGTATTCACTTTTATAAGTAGGTCCTAATTTATCTGTTTTTCTATTCCAGGACAATGAGTTTTTTACCACATATATGCACATAAAGTTTCCAAGGTGCTATAGATTGCTCTTCACAATGCCATCAAATATCCATTGCAGGCATGGTGGTGCATGTCTGCAATCCCAACCACTCCAGAGGCTAACACAGGAGGACTGCAAGTTCAAGGCCAGCCTCAGCGACTTAGCAAGACCTTAAAGCAACTTAGCGAGACCTGTCTCAAAAAATAAAAAGAGGGCTGGGGATGTGGCTCAATGGTAAAGGACTCCTGGGTTTAATCCCCAGTACCAAAAACGCCCCCACAAAAACCCATATCTACAAACAATGAATGTGAGGTCTCAGTTTCCTGCCATACCATGCTACCCTTTGACTTTGATGTCTTAGATATTCTGCTAATGCCACTGATTTTCAAAGTATCTTTATATTGGTTCTGAAAAAAAACAACAAAACATCTTTCTTTGCCCATCCCTCTATCTCCTACTCCATCAAAATAGCCTAAAAAACTAAAGTGATAGCTCAGGAATGGCTTTCAACTCAGCTTTGAGATTTTGAGCTGCAACCCATAAACCAGAAACCAATTTTGGCAGGTAAAAATGCCATCGCTTTAAGGAGGATACACAAGTAGAGGTAAAATGCACACGTCAGAGGGCCTTTTCTACTTACACTTACCCACAGGCCCACCTCAACCAGACCACTTTATCCTTAAAACTAAAGAACAACAGGGGGAGGCCAACGAGGGACCACGGAAAGAGATCAAAAGGCTTGGAAAGAGAATGGAAAGGAAATGTGGACTATTCTCGTCTTCCAGTGTCACCTCTTGCCATCCAGGCCCAATGAAACAACATGAGTTTCCATGGACAGGGCACGTTTAATTTAATGAAGGAAGTATCTTTTAACCATAAGATTTCATAAATATTGGAGCAGTTAGCTGCAGAGGCTATAGAACCTCTTCTTTGAAGGTTTTAGGCTATGAAGGGTCAGAGAATAGGATTTTTCTTCAGGAGCTTGGATTCCATAGTGTTTGCACTTTCCAGAAAATCTCTACCTCATCCAGGACCAAAGACAATTTCTCAGTTCTCTTCTTTTTACTTGTCAATTAAGTAAAAAACCAGTAATCATAAGAAGTTAGGCAGTGTAACATCTATTATAGTTGATACTGCATCCTGTACATGGTGGGCAAGCAAGGCTTTAGAGAGACAGCGATGCCTAAGTGTTTCTTTTTGGTACTGGGGATTGAACTCAGGGGCATTCGACCATGGAGCCACATCCCCAGTCCTATTTTCTATTTTATTTAGAAATAGGATCTTGCTGAGTTGCTTAGCATCTTGCCATTGCTGAGGCTGGCTTTGAATCTGCTATCTTCCTGCCTCAGCCTCCAGAGCTGCTGGGATTACAGGCGTGTGCCACTGCGCCCGGCTCTGAGTAAGGTTTTGAAGAATGAAAGGATGAACCTATATCTATCCCCACAGAAAGGAGACAGAAATGGGACAGTCAGCAATCCAGGCAGTGGGTACTTTAAGGGATACTTCAAGGGGTACTTCAGGTGGTTATAGAACTAGTTTACACAATTCCTCTTTTTTTGGGGGGTGGCGCGTGGGAACTGGGGATTGAACTCAGGGGTACTCAACTATAGAGCCACATCCCCAGCCCTATTTTGTATTTTATTTACAGACAGGATCTCATTGAGTTGCTTAGTGCCTCACTTTTGCTGAGGCTGGTTTTGAACTTGTGATCCTCTTACCTCAGCTTCCCAAGCTGTAGGATTTCAGGGGTGCACCACTGTGCCGGGCTCAATTCCTCTTAAGAAAGAGTTTCTATAATTGTTTCTGAATACATTCATATGTAGAAAAAATCCCCATCATTAAAACATTACTACTCTCTCTCTTATTTTGGAGGGCCATCTGAGCACAGGTGGCATGAACTTCATCTGTGGATTTTCTATCCCACTCAATAGTGGGTGGGTAGAAAAGCGGACAACACCTACATTGTCCAGTGTGTTTTGTGGGAAGTTAGGCATGGACTTCCAGTGGGGGGCTGGGATTGATCCCCTACTTGATCCCTATCTGCTGCCCGTCTCGGGTCCTTGTCTAGACCTCAGTTCCTCATGCTACTTAGAGGCTTGTTTGAGGGCTATATGGTAGCACACTCGAAAGGCACATGGAATGCTGACCAGCTGACAGTACATTTCATTGAAACATGAGCGATTATTACTTGAATGACGGGTGCTATGGTCCAATGAAGGTGGATGGTGTGATAAGCAGAATTGTTTCCTGTAGGGACTTCCTAGAGAATTCAGTAGGCTAACATGTGTGGTGACCTTCCAAAAGGAAATTTCATGTATAGTGTTGCCTGAAGTAATTCCATTGTGGGATTCTTTGCTGAGAAACGTATGGGATTAGTGTTGTATGTGTCAACACACTTTTGGACATGCTGCTCTGGAGGACAGAATTAGAGGAGGCACAGGCTAAGGAGGCCAGCTGCCTCCTGGTAAACCCTGGAGCTCTGGGGCTGGTTTCTGTGAATCTCCTGCATTCGGTCTCTGTTGGGACAGGTCAGTCATGCCTATCTGGAATCAAAGCAGAGTTTCACATGGTTCAGGATGCCTTTCAGGAAGGTGGGGAAATGTTTTGGGAGGGTAATCAACAAGGTAGCATATCTTTCAGCCCACCTACAGAGACATCATCCCTTCTATTCTTTTAGGTTGAAGCAAAACATAAACTTTGAGACCAGCCTGAGTTCTGCCTCTGGTCGCCTCCGTGGAGGGACCTGTACATCTATTTTGCAAAGATGACAAAACAGCCTGCCTCCTGGGCTATCATCAGATCCAATGAGACATGTGGCTAATTCTCAAGCTGTACCTGGCCCACAGAAAAATCTTAGCAGCAACAGCACTACCAAGACCCATCGCCACGAGAAAATTTTCCTAGACAATTTCATTAATACTTAACTACCTCTGGCCATTCCATTTCTCATTTCATACCTTTTTGGGGGGTGCTCAGGGTTGAACCCAAGGACTCAAACATGGTAGGAAGTATTCTACCACTGAGTTATAGTCTCAGTCCTTTTATTTGTATTTTTTACTTGGCAATCCTCCTGCCTCAGCCTCCCAATTTACTGGGATTACAGGTGTGTGCCACTGTGCCTGGCTCCCATAGATGTATTTTTAAAGACATTTAACCTTCCCTTGCTTAAATTTTTTGAAAGCAAGAACCAAATTGTATGTTTCTCTTCCCCAGAGTCACAGCATTTACAACATAGTAGGAACTCACTGACTACATAATCTGCTAGGCAGGCCCATGAGATATCTTAGGGGTATGGGCTTAAGCTAAGAGGACCACCTACCTGCCTGCACCTCAGACCCATGTAACTCATTGCTACCCCAAGAATCTCATCCTCAAAGCCAGTCAGGCCCTTTCCATTTCCCTTATTGCCCTGCCCCACTCACCCACAATGGACAGGATGACCACCACGAAGTCGAAGATGTTCCAGCCAATGGTGAAGTAGTAGTGCCTCAAGGCAAACATTTTGAGCACACACTCACAGGTGAAGAAGATGACGAAGACCAGATTAATCCAGTAGAGAATGTTCTCCATCTGTTTGCTCTGAGTATCTGTCTCCACCATCATTGTCACCATATTAAGGCAGATGAGCATCATGATAACAATGTCAAAGGCTTGTTGAGTGACAAAATCAAAGACGATACCTTGGATTTTGTTCTGGGGAAGAGGGGGAGATACAATAGGATTCATAAAGACTTCCCATGCAGACCTGGGGAAGCCACTGCCCTATTCAAGGAAGCAGTCTCTACCATCTTCTCTGTCATACTGACCAGCTCCCTCCTGCGGCTCTATGGGGAGCATGACAGAGACTGACATCAAGATTGCCTCAGCCAGAGTTTGCTCAAGTTGCCATTCTTCCCTCTTGAACCTATGGTGTCAAACACTTTTGAGATCTTCTTACTTCCCTGGCTGCCCCTTAGTCTCATCTGTTGGCCATCTCTCAATCTCTCTTCTTTATTGACACATGTGTACTGGAGAGCCCATTTATTCCTACTGTTTACACCTATCTACTGCTTGAGCTTCTCAGTCTCTCTCCCTGATGACTCGTAAATGTCTTAAACTTACCAGGTCCAGAGCACAGCTGAGTCCTTTCCCTTTCCCTTCGCGTGGCTTGTTCTGCTTCTCTCAATTATTTATCTGTCTCTCAAGCCAGAAATCTAGAGTCCCCTGTTTTTGTCTTCTCTCTCATACCCCAATGCCCTGAGAGTCACTGACTCTCCTTTTAAAAGAACTCGGTTGGGCCTGCTTCATTGCCTTTCCAGTGGCTAAGGTTGGAGGACTAACCTTAGCCACATCATCACCTGTACTTCTCTAAAAGTCTCTTAGCTGGTCTTCCTGCTTCCTTTGTTGCCCTCATCCAAAGCAGTCTCCACACACTGGTGAGTGGGACTGTTTAAAAACATAAATGAATCACATCATTCTCCCACTTAAAACCTTTCAATAGCTTCTCACCCGTCTGCCACAAAGGTCCTATTGTTAACTTGGCGGAGAGATGCCTTCACAGTCAGATATTACTTGTGGCCTGTTACTAGCATTTCCTGCTTCTAGAGCCTTGTTTGCTTTTCCAGGAATCACTATCCCCACCAGAGAACACCTTCCTTGACGAGGCTTTCTCTGACTACTCATGTAGAAATAGATCTGCCCCCACAACCCTCCATTTTTCTCTGTTATGGTTCTCCAGTTATTTCTTTCTTCAATGTTTGCCTGCATTTTATTATAGCTGCCTGCTTTTTTTTGGTTTTGTTTTGTTTTTTGGTACCCAGAGGTGATTTATCGCTGACTTATATCCCTAGCCTTTTTTTATTTAAGACAGAATCTCACTTAATTGCTGAGGCTGGCTTTGAACTTGTGATCCTCCTGCCTTAGCCACCACCCAAGCTGCTGGGATTTCAGGTGTGTGCCACCATGCCCAGCATACCTACTAACTTTTATAGTTTAATGTGGAAGAAAATATACTTAGGTTCCCAAATGTAAACTTGAGAAATGTTAATCCTTTAATATTCCCTTTAGTTCCATTTCTATCACTAACCGGAAAGTCTTAACATCATGGAAATAAAAAAAAAAAAATTATCTTTTTAAAGATTCCCCTGATATTTTATATTTAAAAGCACCAAGGCACTTGGGCTACCACTTATTTTCAGGATTACTTTAACTTGGTGGTTTCCAAAATGCTCTGCAAACCCCTGGGCTTCTTTTCCCTCAGTGGCTATGCAGGAGTATGCCAGAAACAACTGTGGGGTCAGGGAAAAGCAGGCTGGAAAGCCAACTGCTGGTTTAAACAAAGGAGTTCTACTTTTATTTGTCAAATTAGACTTCCACCTAAGCTTTGACTTTAAGTGTTCTGCTGCCTTTTTTTTTTTTTTTTTGAGAGACAGAGAGAGAGAGAATTTTTTAATATTTAGTTTTTGGGGGACACAACATCTTTGTTTGTATGTGGTGCCGAGGATCGACCCCGGGCTGCACGCATGCCAAGCGAGGGCGCTACTGCTTGAGCCACATCCCCAGCCCTTTTTTAAAAAAATTACTTTAAATGAAAGTTATAGATGAAGAAGAAGAAACCTCAAGGCTTTTGGAGATTATGACCCACTCAGCTTGTTTCTCTGAAACAAGAGAATAACAACCCATGAAGGGTGAGGCTGAATCTCAGCCCCAATTCTGTTAGAGAGAGGAAATCCGGGTCACAGGACTCTCCTACTTTCACTCTTTCTGCTCTGACAGCCAGAAGCATTGTTTTAGCTCCCAGACATCCTGCCCACATGTCTATTGGGCACAGAGGCTGAGAAAACAATGACCAAATCTTGAAGTCTTGAAGTGGTAGGAAAGGAATCAGCTTTTGTTCATTTTTGGTTGTCTATTAAAAGATCTCTAGGCTGGGGTTGTGGCTCAGCAGTAGAGTGCTCACCTAGCACATGCGAGGCCCTGGGTTCGATCCTCAGCACCACATAAAAATAAATAAATAAAGGTATAAAAAAAAAAAAAGATCTCATTACCTGGGCCAGAGTCAATGTGGTAAGCATGCCGGTTCTCTGCTGCTTCCCAAGGAGGGAAGAGGAGGGGCTGAGAGGAGAAGTCAAGCATGATATAGAAGTCATGCCACACTGTAATCCCTGTTCTGCTGCCACCTTACTCTGATCTTTTGGATGGGGCAGCTTGGAGAAGATCAGTAGATACCAGGCAATCACTTTTGCCTTCCTTTGCAGTAACCCTAGCAGTGTCTTCCCAGATAGGTTCTCACTATGTTCTTGGTCTGCACAATGTACTCACCAAGGGGCGGGGAATGGGTTTCTGTGGTTTCTTTGAGCCCAGCTTTTTCATGGCATTGTAGTACTTCTTCTGTTCCTCAGTCATGAAGATATCCTGACCTCCAAAGTAAAGGAGGGAAAAAGAGAAAAGCAATTACAACTGGTGCTCACAGGCCTGGTTCTGGACCAGGTTCTGGATCAACACTGAGAACTGACGGAGACATATCCCTTTCCTTTCCAGAGGTCAGGTTAGTGGCTGCCTGTCCCAGAGTGAGATAGATCTAGAATGATTATTCTAATTCAAAGAGATAGCTACCTTTGTTTTCAGCTCAGGATTTCTGAGATTTGCCATGCTAGGTAGGAAGGAAATGGACTATCTGGCTACAGACCCTCAGGGAAGGGTAAACCTCAGAGCAAAGGTGTACATCTCACATCTCACAGTCTCATAATAACATTTTTGGCCTGATTTCCTGATAAGCTTCTAGGAAAAAAATTCTATTTTTATTTTTTGGTATGTGAGGATTGAGCCCAGGGGTACTTTACCGCTGAGCCACATTCCCAGCCTTTTTAAATTTTGAGACAGGGTCTTGTTAAGTTGCTTAGGGCTTTTTAAGTTGCTGACTCATGGCCCACTTATTTTAGATGACATTCAAAATTTGTAAACTCTAGTGCAAGAAGGCAGTTTAGAGAGAGTTTTCTGAAGTTTGTTGGGCAGAATTGACTTACAAAATGAATAATAAGGGTAATCTTTTCAATTTTTTTTGGGGGGGGTACTGGGGATTAAACTCGCTGAGCCACATTCCCAGCCCTTTTTAATATTTTATTTATAGACAGGGTCTTGCTGAGTTGCTAAGTGCCTCGCTAAGTTGCCACAACTAGCTTTGAACTCGGTGATCCTCCTGCCCTAGCCTCCCGAGCCATTGGGATTACAGACATATGCCACCGCACCCAGCTTCAGTTTGTTTTGAAAAAAAAAACTGTTAATCATCTGAGATAAGTAAGGAAGTGAACTTTCCAGGGTGGCCTTTCAGATCCCAATTACCAGAGATTTACATGGATGATGACAAGTCTGGGCAATTTCTGCTTCACTGCACTACTCATCCGCTTCTTTCTGGAGCGGAGGCTCTCTCTGCCCCTAACTCCCTCTGGTGGAGTCAAGACCAGTAGTAAGTAGGCCTTGTGAGTACAAGACTGCTAGTAAATTCAGTAAATCACATGTTGCAAAATCCAGCCCTGAAGAGGAAGAGTTGGTTGGGGTTAATGTACAGTGGAGCCAGTGTCACAGTGAGGTGACAATTTGGATTTTAGAGAAAATAAAGAGGGGTCTTTTCTCTGTAGTGACAGGGACAGAGGGCCTCTCATCTGAGTTGACCACTGGCAGTGAGGGGAGGAGACCTATCTTTTTCTTTTGTTGATTGAAGTTATCAATGATGACACCAATGAACAGATTCAGGGTGAAGAAGGAGCCGAAGATGATGAAGATGACAAAGTAGATGTACATGTAGATGTTGTCCTCATACTTAGGCTGTTCATCAGGCTGTCAAAGGACAGGAGAAAAGGAGAGAGTCAGCTTTCAGCTTGGCGATCAGGTGGGTGACTCCGACATGCCAAAGCCATCAGCTGTGACTTCCTGTCTGGGCTACTGAACAAACTGGGGATGGGAGAGACCTAGCTTCTTTCAGCCTGCCTCCTTCTCCATACTGGCAGCTCGGAGGACCCTGATAGCATCACTGCTGTGACTTATTGGGAGAATATGCAAATCGCGAGGTGAGGGGCAGGGGAGGGGTGCCTGTTAGGAGCCACACTTTTATTTCAAGACAGGACTGAAGAGTAGACAGCTCTGTTGGGGCCGAGTAAAAATCAACTGTCTAATCATTTGTAGCCAATGTGAGAGAGCGAGGACTTACTGAGAGGAAGAAAATGATCTACAATCAATAAAACAAGCAATTAACATTCCAAACAGAAATTTTGGTGCCTCCATTCTTCCCGTCCTTTCTCTTTGATGATTCCACCATGCTGCCTGCTTTCTAACCAATGAGGAAGGTTCTGTTCCACCAGATACATTCTTACCTTTCGGGAATCTACAGCTGCATACATGATGTCCATCCAGCCTTTGAAGGTTGCCTGGCAAACAGAGTCAGTCATTAGATTGTGCCTGTGAGGGAGTGGGAGGAGTCTAGGTAGGAGTCCCAAAGGCCAACAGTAAGGACACAGGAGTTTGGGGTAAGTCTCATATGGACATAGGGTTTCCTTTTGTTCGTACAGGGCCCAAAGGGGCTTTGAGTAAGTCCCTGAAAATAACATCAGAGTTTGGCAAAAAAACATGTTGACGATGGTAAGTGATTGATGACTTTCACACAAGGTCTTAAGATGTGTTTGAAAAGACTGCCTAAAGCCAGGGCAAATGCAGATTTATAAACAAGTGGCAAGAATCTACTCAAGGTGCTTATTAGACTTTAGCCTTCCACTGAGGAGCTGTTTTTTCAAAAAGTGTTTATAAAGCAATGGGGGGGGGGGGGTCAAAAAAATTCACAGTTTCACTAAAAAAAAAAAAAAAAAAGACAACAAGGTCAGAACTTTTCTCTTACTAATAAACACAAGTAGCCTGCAGTATGGCAATCCTGGTGGCATCCTTGATGCCAATTCCAATTAATACCCCTTTCCAATTCTCTTTGTCTCCTATATCTAGCATGACTTTTGGAAACAAAGATGGATAATCAATTTAATATCTTCATGTTTAATTTGTTCAGCCAGATTCTAAGCTTTTTCAGGGCACAGGACAGTGTCTTTATTCACCTGATGGTCCTATTGCCAAGCACAGTGTCTTGCTTATGGTGGGGACTCTGAATACTGTGTCTGACTAATATTTTCTGGAGCTGCTCCAGTTCAGATTCAATTTGTGGGTTCCATTTCTTGAACTGGGGTAGAACAGCAAAAGAGTTTTGTGGTAGGATATGATACAGCTCATTCCCCTAACTTTTGCCTCCTCTTCCTAACAGTGAGTGCTTACTGTGTTAGGTTAGGGTGAAAGCTTCATTTGCAATTTCACATTTAATATTCACAACAAGTGAATGATGTGGGTATTACAATCATAGTAATGAAAACACATAATAGCCATTATCATAATTAAGCTATGCTATGTGCTGAACATTGTGCTAAGATATTTTTCAAGTATCATGAATTCTCTCTTTTTTTTTTTGGTACCAGTGATTGACCCCAGGACGATTTTACCACTGAGCTACATCCCTAGTCTTTTCATTTTTTATTCAGAGACAGGGACTTGCTAAGTTGCTTAGGGCCTTGCTAAGTTGCTGAGGCAGGTCTTGAACTTGTGATCCTCCTGCCTCAGCCTCCAGAGTTGCTGGGATTACAGGTGTGCACCACTGTGCCTGGCTCATGAATTCACTTAACCATGTAGAGTATTATAATCTACATTTAATTGATGAAGAAACTGAGGAATAATTTGTACCAAATTGAATACCCAATAAACATCAGATCGTGGCTCAAAATTACATCTGTCTGATTCCAAAGATTATGAGCTTTTCAATGCATCAACTGTCTTGTCAAATATTCCAAAAAATTGGCGAGAGAAGAGAAAACTAGGCATGATGGAATGAAGTTAGGCAAGAGAGACTTATCTACATCATTAAAACACATTTCTCCATATTATCCACATTAGCCCTTTCTCTGGGGTTGAGCTGTCAGAGCGGCAGAATCGCAGCACAGCCGCCTTTAGCATAGCTATTATGTAGGATTCTTCTTCTTCATCAAAATTGCCCTTTTTATTTGTTTTCTTGACTTTAACTACAATTCAGAGCTGGGGAGAGGTGATCTACCACTTTATTATGTTGCAGCAAGTTTCAGTTGTTGCTGAGTAGGTCTAGTTCTGAGCACAAAGAGAGAGGTTCCTTTTGAATGAGATCTTGTAGAAGTCAGAATATACAGGAAAGACGTCTCCCTGAAACTGGTCTGGGAAATGATATTGCTCCCTGTTTCAGAGTAATTCCGATTCTGAAAGTAGGGTTGAGAAGGAACCAAATGAAATTTCTGCTAGTTGTTTGAATTTCCCAAGACTGAACAAATAATAATACTTACTACTTGAAGAAGGGCCAGATATCCTGCCCCCACGTTGTCAAAATTGATCTTCACGTTCTTCCACCTGATCTCTGTGTTGTTCCCCTCCATGAGCTTTTCACATTCAGTTTTATTGTTGACATCTTCGATTTCAAATCGGATTTCAGAAGTCTCATTAAAGCAGTAGTGGTATTTCCCCGCAAACAGGTTAACTCCCATGATGCTGAAAATCAGCCAGAAGATGAGACACACCAGCAGCACATTCATGATGGAGGGGATGGCGCCCACCAAGGCATTCACCACCACCTGCATTGGAAGGGGAGGTTGCTGAGTGTTGGCAGGAAGTGAGGGAAGCACATTCTTTTGATTTCCAGGAGGGGAATGACATTTGTGTGGCTTTTCTGCTACGGAAATGTGTTTTCTTTGCGCTTAACTGTTTTCTTTGCAGTAACTGGACAGATCCACAAATAGGACCAAAAATTTCTAAGTTTGTGAACAACATTTTGGGGAATTTTAATAAATTGCATGTTGATTTCAACTAAAACAAACTCCCCTGCCCAAGTTGACCCTGATCATCTCTTCTAGGCACCAACCTGGGACCAAAAAAAAAAAAAAAAAGAAAAAAAAAAGAAAAAAAAAAAGAAAAAAGATCTTAGTCCAGTCTCCCTCCTCTTCAACTTGTAAAATAAACCCCCATGGAAAAAATCTGAGCAATTGCAAGCTTGCTAGTTGCCTTTCAACACATTCCCCCTCTGAAAAACAAGGCATGATTGTTCAAAACCACAGAGAGCTGCCCTTTGGGTTAGCAGTGAATCACTCAACAGTACATAACGTCTCTTTTATGACTATGCAAGGCCAGTTATCTTTCAGGCAATAGCTGAGCATGCATATTTTGCAGGCTCAAGAAAAAAAAAAGCTATATTCCCTCTACCAAACAGTATAAAATAAAATCTGAACAAATGTGCTTTCTACTCAAGGTTTATTCTTCAGCCTTTTTTTTTTTTTCTGACTTTGTAGGCTTCTAAATCTACGAGCTGCCCAGTGTGGCTAGTGTTGATATCTGTCTGTTTAGTCCAGGGCTTGACTGTTCTTCACAATGTATTAGAGATCAACATGACTTTTTTTTTTTAAATAGTTTTGGGTTAGATCACTGCTCTTGAAACTAAAAAAAATGACATGTTGTTAAAAAAATCACTGACTACAGTCTCAAGAATTTTTTTTTTTTTTAAAAGGGCAAAGGAAAAAAAAAAACCCCTTAGGAATAGATGTTTCTTGGGTTGTTTTAAACATGGACTTTGCTTTATACTAGAGGTGACAGTAGTCAGACAACAACTCTACCGTTGCAGCAGTTTTCACTAGTAGAGTTCGAGTGCTTACAAAGGTAACATTTCTAGTGATGGAACAGGAAACAAGGCTAGTTTCATCTCTGCCAACTTTCACTAGTGATGTCTTAAGCAGGGTTGCTAAGGCTCAGAAGAATGTTTCTTCCTTTTTCTAGTACTGAAGAGGATTATGGAGTAGAAAACAAAGACATTGGATATAAATGAATTGTGTTTTCTCTGATGTTTTGTTTGAAGGAGGTGACACGTGTTACCAAGTTCCTGCATCTGTTTTTTTGGTACAGGTAAGAGATGACAGGCTGCCAACTAGCTACAGCATGGGAGAGACAGGGAGGTCATGCTGTATGAGGAACGCCAGGGGGCAGCCCTGGGCTCTAACTTGAATCCTACTGGGTTTAGGTTTTGTCTTTTGTTTTTGTCTTAGACTGCACTGTCATTCATCAGAAAACATGGCTGAGAAGAGCTACCTGTTCTGTCCTATATCAAAAGGCAACAATATTCTGCTAGGGACTCACTCTGTCTTTGATATTAAAATACTCATCTTGTGATTCTCCAATTCACATATGAAGGCCTTTAGAATGAGAGGCAGTTATTTCTTAATTTTTAGACCAAGAAATCTCTTCAAGATCTTATAACTCTGGCATTAGTATAAAATATTTATTACTGTGAGCAAGGAAAGCTAGAATATCTGAAATCCAGAAAATCTTTAATGTTATTTTGGAGAATGCTATTTACTTTTATGAATTTATGGTATCAAATCTGTCGGATAATCAGATTTAAATTTTACCTTCTCATTCTACAGTTGTTCACCCTTTGGTTAGGGCACCAAAAAGCAATGGAATGTGCAAAAGAACAAGCAAAAGGCAAATGATCCACAAATGGAATAATCATTTCTCAAACAATAAGAGTAGATCATGTAAAGATTCAAAAGCTCAAGTCTATGTGACAGCATTTTGCAGCAGTTTAGGTGAGAGATCATGATGTTGTATTAGACCACTACCAGCGTAAAGTAGGGAAGTAAACCCTAAAAATGGAAGCCTGAAAATATTGGTTTTTTTCCCCTCAATTCAGAACCTTCAGGAATTCTCAATGTATAGACAATCTGTTTTTGTTTGTTTGTTTGTTTTTGGTACAAGGGACTGAACCCAGGGGTGCTTAACCACTAAACCAGAATCCCAGCCCTTTTTAAAAATATTTAAGACAGGGTCTTGCTAAGCTGCTTTGAACTTGCAATCCTTCTGCCTTAGCCTCCGAGATGATAAGATTACAGGCATGCACCACGGTGCCCGGCTATACAGAGAATCTTAAACTTCTATTTGAACCCAGTCTAACCCATCCTACATGGTGTCTTAAATCTTACTGTTAAATATGGATAATATTTTCAGCAGGGAAGAATAATCAACTAAGTGATCTCTGAACTTTAACATCATAGATCTGATCAAAGGACTCAAAACACAAAAATATTTGCTGAGGATTTGCTGATGACACAAAAATCCTGTAAATCTGATACTTTTTTGTGTATGTGTGCACATACATTCACTCATGGTACTGGGGACTGAACTGAGGGACACTCTACCACTGAACTACATCTCTAGTTCTTTTTATTTTTTTTGAGACAGAATCTTACTAAGTTGCTTAGGCTGGCAACTTGTGATCCTCCTGCCTAAGCCTCCTGAGCTGCTGGGATTACGGCGTGCAATACTGCACCCAGTTAATCCAATGTATTTGTAATATGCAAATATATATTTATTAATCACAACCAAAGAAAATCTCCTCATCTTAGATTTATAAACAAAACAGTAAAGAATTGGTGGAATTAATAATTCTTCCCTGCTGTGAACATTAGCTGATAAGCTACAAAATATTACACAGAAATTGTTTAACTGTGCCCCATATAGAAATGTCATTATGCCATTATTCTCAGTAACTAAAGAGAAGAAATCAGGCTTATTATTTTAAACTTTTACACTAAAGATATATTATAAAAGACAATTCAAATTTTCACTGATACTCACTTAATAATTGGATTTCTTTTGCTCTTGCTACTCTCTAGTTATTTGACATTGCCCTTCATGATAATGAAACCCATTATTGTTAAAAACTAGATACAGTATAGAAATATTACTCAAAGTTAGGTTCTAGCAATCTATAAAGTTTTTTCCAATGGAAATTTGTACTTAGTGTTGGACATAAATCTTACCTAAGATTTCTTGACATGTTGTTAAAAAAATCACTGACTATAGTCTCAAGAATTAAAAAAAAAAGGGGGAGAAAATTCCAATGGATACTAATTCTTACAGTATTTTTATCTTCTCTATAATGCCTAGGACATTTTTGTTCATTAAACACTATAAAATCTATCAAATAGCTTTTAATATCTGGCAGAGGGAACATGGCTTTAATGGACAACTATGTACTGACAATCAACAAAAAATGCATGCATGTTTCATAGCATTACTATTGTATACTTTCAAAAATTTAATAGCACAGCAATATTTTTAAATAAAGGTTACTATGGAGGAGAGGAAAGCAAAGAACTACATTAAGTATTCCTTTGCTAACAGCAGGAGTGTTTCAATTTTTCTGATCTTTGGTTTGAGGAAGGAGAGAGGAGACTGAACGAGTATCCCAGGACAGGCTGGGGTCATATGCTCCCTCTCAAATGAAGGTCTGAGTCTATAATTGGAGCAGCACAGTGACAGTTGAGCCCATCTGCATGGATGGTATTCAGTTCATGAAGGTTTCTTACTTAAGGTTTTCTAATGGTAATCTTGCAAGTGTTGGCATACAGAAGAACCCAAGCTAAAGAATGAAAAACACATTCCCCTGTAGAAAAACAAAATTTATGTGAAACATATATACTTAGTTCTATTTATCACTGGGAAACTTAAGCTGGGACAAATGCAATCTCTTCTGCGGTTACTCTTCCACAGAAGGGCTGGGAAACTGCAGGGCAGGAATAGATCCTGACCTCTCTCTACCTGCCCAACCAGCCCTGGTCAGTAATGTTGACTGACTGGCAACAAACCAATAAGGTGGCACCTCTACACCAAAGTTTCCCTCACTGAATGTTACTGTTTTAAATTGCAGCTTTGGGTTCAAACTTGTTTTTGCCCATATTATCTTATTTGAAAAAAGCTTGAGGTAGACGATTTTCATTAAAAGTTTCTACTGTTTTGATTATCCATTCTGAATGATCTGGATCCATTTCTAACCTATTTGAAAGTTGATAAGTTTCCCAGGGAATGGAAACTGAGAGTTCAGGGAAGGTGGGGAAAAGAGGAACTAAAGGGAAAAGGTGAGGCTACTAAAAGGGCTCCTGCATCAGATTATTTAACTCATTTCCTCATAAGCAAACTGGCGCTCAGTGGGGACTACTTTCTGCCATAGGGACAGCAGTGAGCAACCAGATGGAGAAAGTTAATAACAAGTGTTGGTTGGGCTGGGGCAAGGAGTAGAGGCTTTAAGTATTACCAATCCCTTTTAGGAGATCCAGGATCACTGCTGAGACTGTGGGGGCATTACAGGCTACTGAGCTCAGGTACAATGTTGAATAAGCATTATCTCTAAAGGCATTTATTTAGTTGCATCTTGTCCACAATTTTTCAATCACTAAAGTGAATTATTAACTCTATAACAACACTATTATAATTTATTTAAAAATTTATTACTTATGAAAAACATGGGAAATCCAGGAAGTAGGGATGAGCATTTTAATTCTATTTTCAACCACGACCATTAAAATCACTGAGTCTTGTCTCTCTCCCTACATTTAGTCTGATCCTAATAATGTCCTCATTGTACACATTCTGAAGCCTCTCTTCTCTGTGGGACACTTAGCATCCCCAACTTTTTCTTTAATAATAAAAATAAATTTATGCTGCTGTTGGAACTGCCCTTCCTGCAGATGGTTTTTAGGACTACAGAAAAAGCTCACGTTTAGTAAACCAAACTGTGACTGTGCTACAGAAGAAACACGAGTTTATTGCAAAAAGCATTTGTCTGAATACACTAAAATAGTAAGATAAAATTCCCACGTCCCAGTGAAATTTTCACCTTCCTGTGCAACTGTGAGTGGCTTCATGGAATAGCGGCCAGAAATCACAGACGAGGAATAAATGGTATCTAGTTTCTCCAATCAGTCTTGCTTCATGTGAACTATTGCAACAGTTTAGTTTTATTCCTATATTCTGATATTTGCACATTTAAGAACTGATCCTCTGGTTTGCTCTCCTGCATGTATTCAACTTCTGAATTGAAATGAGTTTTCTTGGTCTCGTTAAGTATAACAGACCTCTCTCATTACAACTATGATCACCAAAACCAGCTGTCCACTTGATTTTAGGAAATTGACTTTTTAGTGTGAGTGTGTGCACACATGTGCACACACGCACAATTATCAAAACCATAAAAGAAAAAGGCACCAGAAGAGGAGCCTTATTCTGAGTTGGCAAGGTGACAGCCCCTGTACTGTATATATTCGGGTGGAGTATCGCCAAAGTTGGAATAGGAGGACTTGAGAAATTTCAGGAGAACTAATTGGTATTCAGTCCTCTAGCATCATCCCTGTTTGTTGTTTTGACAGTATTAGGATAGTGGACCATATAGCATGGGCAGAGGGGTGGGGGTGAGGAGGAAAGCTTTGCTATCAGACAGTGGCTGCCAGTCCTTATGGGACTGGGCTGAGAACAACAAGGTGCAATAAGAGGAATCAGAATAGAAAGAAAAGCATTTCTTCTCCCAGGGCCATGCCAAATTCTGCTCAATCCCCAATTCCAAGCCTGTCATGTGTCTTCAAACCCCCTCTCTGCTGTTTTCTCAGTGACTCCAAGGCCACAGTCCCCACCTGGCTAGTGTCCCTACACAGCACTCTTCCTGCCTGCAGCCTATGCTTTTCAGTGGGTCTGTGGGTTATAATTCCCCTTCTTTGCACCTGGTGATTCTCCCTATTAAATCAACAGCCCAGAAAGCCGCCCCAAGTGCTACAGGTAAGCCAGGCCAAATGAGAATAGCCAATGTTAACATGTTCTGCGATGGCATGTTGTTGGGAGTGGGGCCAATATTAATGTGATGAGGCAGCTTAATGCAACTCCCCTGTGCACGGGGCTGGTGCGGGGGAGATAGAGTGGAGGATCAAATCGGCAGCTGCATCACAGAATCCGTGTTTGAATGATCTTTCCACCATGTGATCAGTTCTAGCATGCTTAAACAGTTTCCATTGGCATGCAGAAGGATCAGCTGCTCTTAGTATCTTACCCTCATCCCTTCAAATCGTGATAAGGCTCTTAAGGGTCTCAAAGCTCTTAGGGTCCTAAGGGACTTTATGGCACCTAGTTCCGAGTAGCCCAGGGCATTAGCTATAAGGCTGACTAAAGAGACCTACACGGAAACAGAAGAGAAAAACAAAAACAAAAAAGGAAACAAAAAGAAAAAAAAAAGAAAAAAGAAAACAGAGGTTCCAGAGTGTTAGAATAAAGCCCCTAGCACTGAATTACACAGATTGGGCCCCCCAGGTGGAGCAAGTGGGTAACACCAGCTGCCTATTTCAACTTGACTCAAACGACCTGGAAGGAAAGGTGGTTGAGAAAGGCAGAAGAAAAAACACAAAGGGAAGAATAAATTGAGAGAAGGCGGTAAAACATACACACAAGTTGGAAGGGAAGAGGCTGAAGGGAGAGGGAGAGAATGAGGAAATTCCATTGGAAGGAGAGGAGCCTGAAGAGATGACAAGAACCTTACCCTCGCCCTTTACAGTCTCTGCAGGTCCCAGAAGTTCCCATTAAATTAAGCCAGACAAATTTAATGGTACCTATGGAAAAGAATACAGATAAATACACATACTCCACACAAGCCGCCCCCTCCTCTGCTCATTCACCATGGGATTTCCAACAGGGACAAGCTCTCTTACTCCTGGTTGACAAGAAACCATTTGTTTGAGAATTTGATGAGCCACTACATCAACAAAGGAAATATATTCCATAAGTACCGCAGGTGACTTTGCAGTTCCCAAGAAAAGAACCGAATAAGGAAACTCCTTGACAGAATTTTGACCCCATGACAATTCAAGAGATTTTCTTTCTCACTTTTAATAAAGAATCCTTCCAATTTATAAGCATAACTATGACCCCCTTCATGGCCATAATAACTTAGGTAGGTCTCAATAACTAAATCTACACATTTTCTTATAATTCCCATTCTTTCCTTCCAGAACATCCCCAAATGAATTGGCCTCAAGTTTGTCACTTTCAGAACAATTTTCTATAACTTTCACCATTAAAATAATAGCTGGCAAAATTCTTGAGAGAAAAAATTCAAACTTTCCATTTTATACAGATGAAGAAACTTTTACCATCATATACAAAAAACTGCCCACTGTCGGTGGCAATTCTGGAGCCAGGATGAGATGCCCACACTGTTGACCCTTGGGCCAGTGTCCTTTCTTCCAAAAACACATTGTGAAAGATCCGTCTGCAGCAGACAGGTTACATGAAAATATTCCAATAGGATCACCAGTGTCAGAATAATCCAGAGCTGATCTATTGACATACTAGGGAAAGTAGTCTCCAGGTCTACACTTGGGTGAAATGCTTTCCTGCTCTTCTAGAGGCAAACTTACCTTGTTCTAACAGAGTTCTAGGGGAGTTACATAATGACATCTTAACACTGGCTACTAAACACACCTCAGGCTGCTTGGGCCTGATCCTAGGGGGCATCAGATCTGAACATACCTTTAGCTGGTCAAATCCTACAGTGTCTGGGTGTAGGGTTTTTTTTTCTCTCTCTTTTTTTGATAACAGGGATTGAACTCAGGGGTACTTTTCCACTGAGCCACATCCCCAGCCCTTTATATTTTTATTTAGAGACAGGGTCTCAATGAATTGCTTAGGGCCTTGCTTAAGTTGCCAAGGCTAGCTCTGAACTCATAATCTTCTTGCCTCAGCTTCCTGAGCTGCTAGAATTACGGGCGTGCGTCACGCACCTGGCTGGGCATAGGGTTTTTTAGAGTAGCATTGTACTTATATTGTACCACAGATTCTGGGGTAGGTTAAGATATTTCCACCTCATATTAGTTTAATTGATGATATTTTAAATTAGAAAAGAAAAAAAACCTACAATTTAGTTTCATTTGCTGCTTTTAGGGTTTTAGTTCATTGATTCCATATCTCTGAACTGTGTACACATGCACACACTTTTAGAAATGAGGAAATTTATAATTAAGTATCAGGATGGGCATGGGGTAGAAGTGAAAGGTCAATGACTTTACAAGGATCAGGGATGAGAAGGCTTAAAGGTTTCAATTTTAAAATGGGCCATGCACTTTTGATTTATGCATGTATTCATAATTCATCAGCTTAGGTGTCTTCTATGGAGTCCCAGGCAATATCCAAAGTAAACCTGGAACTAAACATTGCCCTATTTGGCTATCCACATTCTTTGAGAGTAAGATGATCAAGGGCTAATCCTTGCCTAAAATAAGGGCTTCAAAAGCCATATCCGGAACATAGCAGTACTGACCAGTCACTTCCGCTCCATCTATAATTATCAATAAAAATTTATATGGAGATAACTTCTCTCAAGTTCAGCCAACTCTTAACCCCAAATAATCTAAAATCGACAGACTTTTATTGAAGCTATAAAATCTGAAGGTAAGCTATCCCATTTCAACTCGTTATCTGAGTTCAGAAGTCCCCTGGGTCAGCTTCATCCTGTGAACTCTGTCAGGTAAAAATTGTAAAAAACTAAGCTTTGACTGGCTACTGGCCCCACACAATGCAAGAGGACCCCATCTCTTCAGGGTTGGTGACTTATCTGTTAATGATCAGGTCTACAGTGGGGAGAGGGGTGAAGAAGGTACAGAGGCCAATTCAGCACTGGCTCGAAAATGCTGCTGAGAGATAAACTGCTCAGCTAATTGATTGAGGGAAGATCTCCCAAGACAGAATCAATAAGGGTCTTATCTGGGTTATTCCTTAGCAGCTGAGGGCTCACATAATCCTCTGAGTCTCCATGTTAAACCTTCACTGGAGATAATCAGAACATTACTTAAAGTGCAATTTAAAGAATGAATCAAACCTAAAGAGGAAAAAGGAACTGAGGAATCAAAATCCAGGGTATCTACGGCTGCAGGCATGGAAAAAAACACACTGGGTGACATTTTCAAAATAAGTAAATATATTCAAACAGAAAATGTTTTCAGTAGTGAACTCTGGATGAGAAGCATGGTCTCTGAAAGCTCCCATCCTTAGAATGGATATGCGGGCTAACTGCTGCAAATGATGGGGAAAATTTCCCTAGAGAAAAGATGCTAACATTCTTTTACAGGACACAATATCCGTGGCAGTAAATGACCTGATCGAAACAAAATGACCCTGTTTGGAACTTAAATGACTTATTAATAAAAAGAATTGATCTTAGAAGTTGTTTGGGTTATCCACAGGTATCTAAAAAAAATGCTTTCAGCAGCTTGATGAGGCAACAAGGAAAAATGAATATCCATTAGGGAAACAAATGTGGAAATGAATGACAGATGCAGATATCAAGTCACCAGATGATTAACTAGGAGGAAGAGTCTCTCAGAGATGGTGGTAAATTAGGTTCTACAATTTATACTTGCTGGTTGTTCTAAAATACAAAGGGAACCATATATTTTACCCAGCAAAAGCTCTGATGCCAGTCCAAGCTATATTGTCCATCCACAACTCATTGATGACAAACTGTACAACCATTGTGATAGAATGGGGTATTCTCACTTAGCATGCTAGGCTTCAAGCTGGTGGTTCTTTGTGTATGAATATTGTCTTTTCAGACACTTACGGAGAAGTGCCCATGCCTAACTCTCGCTGTATTCCCCACAGCACCTGGAAGGGAAGAGGCTTTGCATATTGTAGGTGCTCAATAAGCATTTGATAAGTGAAGAATAAATAAACTGTTCTGTTGGAGGAAAGAACTCAATAAAAGGGAGGTTTCTAGGAGAGATCCATTCCCAAAATGCTGGGTTACCATACACTTATAATCAGATCAGAGTTGCCTAATAGATTAACATAAGCTCCACAGAGGTTTGGACCATGCCTACCTGTCTCCCTGTGACTCCCTATGGCTCTGGGACAATTCTACAGAGCATGGTAGAAACCAGTACAGAAGCATTCTCTGGAACCAGCGTTAGGCCTCAAAGCAATGTAATAATACAGCAACACCCAAAAGCTAGAGGAACTGAAGGGTTGCTGTCAACTGGCCATATGCCTGTATTATTATTAATTTTAAATCCCTTTCTACATAGTATATAATAAATATATTTGTTAAAAAAAAAAAGGTGATGTGTAGGATTGTTATGCTTTTAATAGGCTACTTGGGTACTAGAGGCATGTGAAATATCTGACCAACATTCTTAAATCCTGGGGTAGATCACCCCAGAGAAAGAGGAAGAGAGTGGGGTAGATGGTGGAGGGAAAGGCCATAGTGGGAGGCTTTGTTTCAAATTACAGCATCCCTAGGGTAGCTGGAGTATGGTAGCAGATGCATATGTCTGAGTCCTCACAAAGTTCATAAGATGTGCTCCCACAGGTGCCCTAACTGACTCTGGGCAGTCCAGAGGAGTGAATGTGAAATGGAACTTCCCTTTTTCTAGAAAGAGAGCTGGTCCAGTCTGATTTCAGGTCTCTAGGCCTTATTCTACACTCTGCCTAAGTCTCAGCACTGCAGCTTTCTGTTTGAAAGGAGAGGTCCCTCACAGATGGCATTGATGGTTGCTGAAGGGAGTGCAGAGATCTCTTATTGCCAAGGACTGTGGCAATTATCTTTTTGGTTTATCTTAAGAGGATAGGGTGGCCTCCTCATCTCATTCTGAAATCTTCCCAAAGGCTGGCTTTTTGAAATGGAAGAAAATGGAGACACAGTGATAGCTCCTAAAGACGTCATTAACCACAGGAATTGCAAACTGTTAGGAAAGGAATGTATTTATGGAACAGAAATCATTACTGGGGAAGAGTGCTGGGCTCCTGTAGAGAGAGATTTCCATATCACCCTATCCTACATTCCAGAAGTACTCTATGGATGGTTCACCATTATCAATGAACCTTCTCTTCTAAACATACCAACCTAGACCCAACCACCCCACTTTTGTGTTGCTTCTCAGCCCCTAGTAGGATGTGAATTCTCCATGGGCCCTGGTCCAGCAATTCCCATGTACTCTTTCTTTAAATGCTGATTTGTCTAGGGGGAAAAAAAAGCTTTAGTTATTATACAAAACAAGAAAACAATCACTATTTTTAGTAAAGCCAACAAGAAGCAAATTCTTGTAGGGTGAGAAATAGTTACAGATGATGCATCTTCTAACCTGAAAAATAATACAAGTAGTCACAGCCATCAAGTCTTGGAGAGAGAGGGTCTTGGAACCTGGAAGGAAAAAGGATTTCTCACTTGGTGATCACTGTAGAAATGGCAATGCAAGAACTCTCCCTGATAAACTGATTTGCTCAGGTAAGTATGGGAATGGCCAGGAGAGTTGCACAGACCCTACTACTACTTCACCCCAGCAGCCCCACTTCAACCCCTCACCCCTTTCTCCTGGCAAAAGAGGTCATCCTGCTGGTGGGGAGCAAGAACCTTCCAGTTCCCAGGCTAAAAACAAAAACTTTGAGACCAACAATTCCATTTTCACTCCTAATCTCTGAATATAAATTAAGCCAAGCCCAACAGTAAAGAGTTGGCTGGTGTGTCCCTGGAGCAAATGCAGACTTCACAGTTCCCATTCCTACAGTTAAGATTTGAGCACTGAAAGGAACTTCACTGGAGCCTACACCCATAGGTTGATCTAAACCTAGCCCCAGGCAGCTTCAGCCACTAAAGGGAGACACCCCTTTGTTTTCCTGCTAGAAGGGTTGGGCAACAGAAAGCAGGACACGTACAGCCACGATGAGGAAGTCCAGCCAGCACCAGGCATTGGTGAAGAACTTCACGAAGCCATAGGCCGTCCACTTGAGCAACATCTCCAGGATGAAGATGTAGGTGAAGACTTTGTCAGCGTATTCCAGGATGGTTCGGATGGTCTTCCTCTGCTCAATGTAAATGTCCTCAAAGGCCTGAAAGAGAGGCAACAGCTGCCTACTACAGTGCTGAAAGGTAAACAGGCTCTTGGGAAGCTGGCCTTTCATCAGCTTCCTGCCTCTTCCACTTTACTTCCCTGCTACACATTTTATTTATATATTTTTGCAGTGTTGAGTATTGAATGCAGGGCCTTGCTCATGCTAGGCATGTGCTTTACCACTGAGCAAAATCCCCAACCCAGGGTTTTATTTTATTTTATTTTTTATCAGCGTTATTGAAGAATACTTCATATACCATATAATCCAGCCATTTAAATGTAGAAATTCAATGGCTCTTAGTACATTCAGAATTATGCATCCATCATAATTTTAGATCATTAAATCAAACGAACTCCCATACCCTTTAGTTATCACCCCGCAGCCTCTTCCTACTCCCCTGATCCTAGGCAACCACTAATCTACTTTCTATAGATTTGCCTATTCTGGACATTTCATATAAATGGGATCATATATCATGTGGTCCTTCATGACTTATTTCTTAAGTAAACATAAAGCTTTCAAAGTTCTTCCATGTTGTCGTGTGTATCAGTACTTCACTCCTTTTTGTGGTATAATAATATTCCAAGATGTGGTTATGTCACATTTTGTTTAGCCTTCATCAGTTGATGAAGATTTGTGTTGTTTCAATTTTTTTGGTCATTATGAATAATGCTCCTGTGAATGCTTGTATGTGAGTTTTTATGTGAACATATGCTTTCATTTTTCATATGCCCGGAACAGAACTGCTGTTAATTCTATGCTTAATTTTTTGAGGAACTGTCCAACTGTTTTCCAAAGTGGTTACACCATTTCATATTCCTACCAGCAGTATATGAATGTTCCAATTTCTCTATATCTTCACCAATATTACACATATGACAATATATTTTGTTTCAAGTCCCTTGATACCACAGATATGGGTGGAGGGCCATAGGGGTGGGAGATACTTAGGGGTAGAAAATTGTAGTATGGCTTTCTTTTCTGATATCCATCTATGAGATAGTACTTTGATATGAAGGTATGAGCATTCCCATTTGCAGAGTGCAGAGTGATGTTGAGAGAAGGGACGCTTATATAACATGAAAAAAAAAACTGTGGAAGTAGAAAAAAGTCCCCTATGATACAGTGGGAGGTGCCTGCTCTGAACTGTTCCAGAAGGAAGCCTGGAGTCTGACTGTCTGCAACCTCATCTTCCAAAATGGAGGCATGTTAACATCAGGTGCTCCAGTTTCATCAGTGGTCAGTAGACACAGAAGTCATGGGATCCACAATCCTTCTCATGGACTTAGTACAATAAATACTCTCTGATCAATTAAAAAAGAAGCAGCAGCTTCTATGTCAGGCTTTCCCTTAACTCTATTTGTTAGAAATTCATTCTAAGGATCCCCTATCTCTGAGATTGCACTACAATTATGCTCTAGTAGCTTCAGTCCCTTCACTATTCTTAAGTCTCATGCCTATTATGGCATAAGGTCTTCCTGTCCTGAGTTAAGGTATCCACTGTTTGCTCATCCATGACAAATAAAAATTGTCAAAGGTGATCAATAAAGAAAGTTCAAAACTTTTGCTGTCCTGCTGCTTTATTCTTTCTTCAGGGAAGAAAAGCAGCAAGGGATGGGGTGTGTTCTGTTTTTTTGTGTTTTTGTTTAGTTACTAGATTTAAAGAATAATGATGATGACAATGATCAAATACCCTTCTCTAGTCACTCACCCTAGTCTGATCCTTCTGCTCCTCAGGGGCAGAGACCATGCTGCTGTCACTGCGCCAGGAAGCATGGCATGAATGCTCAGTAATGCAAAAGGTGATCTGGGGCAGGTGAGACAGTCTGGCTGCCCCTCACTCAGACCATGGTTCTCATCCCATCTTCTGGGCCTCCTGCTGTAGTCCTGATGCCTGCCTGCATAATCCTCCCTACTCCTCACGTCCTAGTCAGAAAGTCATCCCATTTGTCCTTGGGCTCCTTATTACTATACACTACGCCTCTGTCAGCTTCTCCTGGTCTTTTACCTTCTAAGCTAGTGAAACTTCTTGAGTTACTGTCTTTAACACCAAATTTGAGTTTTCTCCCTTCTTGTTATTATTATTTTTTGCTTTTAGATGAAGCTTGATTTCTTACTTACATGAATGTATCCACTTTCTTTAAAAACATCTCAAAATTCTATACTCTTCACCTTTCCTTTAATGAAAGGAAGAAAATGTGTGCTGCCTTTAGTCCCTCTGTCCTCATATCTCCTCAGTTATAGATGAATCCCTCATACCAGACCCTGTCCAGTCGTCTCAGTGATAATCAGGCTAAAAATGAGAGCAAATGCCAAGACCATTAGTCATCACAGGGGAGGTACTGTGTATTCAGCACCCTGTACACCTCATGGTGTACACACTGTGCACCTAGGGCAACATGAATATAAATAACCTCTGCACCAGAGATCTGACTCTCTAAATGTTTGCCAATGTGGGTTCTCCAAAACCAGTAGGATGTGAAGGGAGAGGGAGGAAGAACACCACCTCCCTCATCTTGAGCTACTGAAACGTATAGAATGAGAAATTTTGGGTGTTAGGTGAGAGAGGGAAGTTCATCTGAGGAAGCTGCTTAGGTTGGGGTGAAGGGGGTACTGAGGACACGTGGTAATTTGTGTGCTCATCCTGACAAAAAGGTGGTCTTAGGCATCAGAAGATCAGGAAGTGGGTAAGTGTGGATTTTAATGCCCAAAGCTCAAAACACCAGCCTGAAGTACTTTAATAGATGATTATTCTCAGAGCCATAGCTCATCTGTACTTTAAAGTCACCAGGCTTGGGCCCCATCCAGCCTCCTCCCGCTGGTTTCTCTTTACCCTTCCCCAGCCAAAGCCTCATCATATTTTCCCCTGGACCTCACCAGGGCACCACTGCTGAGCAGAATCATGAAGATGATGAAGGTCTCAAACCAATTGTGCTCCACGATGAGGAAGCAGGTTTTCCGCAGGATCCACCAAGACTTGCCTAGCCCTTCCTCAATGTTGACTTGGCAGCACTTGAACCGCTGGACACAACCTGGTACCAGTGTGAGAGGAGGTCAGACTATGGAAATTTGCCCTACCCAGACCCGCCCTCTCCTCCATCTCCCAGGCCCCACCACACAGCAGGAAGGACAGTGGCTAAATCAGTATATCTGATTCAAGAATGGAGCCAGTGGCAGGGCTGAGTCTATACTACAAAGGTTAACGGGGCAAGGCCTTCTGGAGTCAGGAGGCAGGCACAGCCACAACAGGAGAGGACGTTTTCATGGCTGAGTTTGGGCTAATGCCCAAAGCAGACAGACAAAAGAGAAGCTGGAGAAGAGAAACTTACATGTCAGAACTGAGTAGGGGAAACAGTACAACTTTCTTCAAAATTGGGGGTTGGGAACAAAGTTCTTGAAGATAGCCACCAAACACCCCCCACCTGGCACAGACACATCCATAAGCCGTGCACGTGCTCACTCCTCTCCTTGCCCCTTGTACCTTCGGTGAAGCAGGCATCTGGATCCAAGTATTCCTCAGGCTGTTCCACAGGGACTTCTTCTACTTCTGGCTTGATATCGATGGTGCTTCCTTCTGAGGAGCTAGTATCATCCAGTTTCTAGATATGCAAGGAAAAGAGAGGTGAAGCAACTCTGCAGAAACACATCCACTGGACATGGATGACTACTCTGCTAGGAGGGACAGGCCAGATGTAACTCTTCTCTATAATTCTTATTATAATTCATCACCATCCAACTCATGATCATGAGATCAAGACCACAGGCCCTCAATAATTCTGTCAGGATGGGATAAAACCCACATAGAGAAGATAGCGACCCAGCCTAAGCTAAATGTGACCCTGGGTTGGTCTCAGGCAGATTAATGGTAGGGAAGGACTCAGTGGTTTACTCCAGTCTCTAACCAGATGCTTCAGAAGCAATGGAGCCAACCTAGACTAGAGTTGGTTTTCAAAGTGAACTGGCTTTTGAAGAATCTACCAAACCCAGAACTGAACCAATCCCTGGGGTTGACAGAGTCCTGTTTGCTATTTCACATTGAATCAAGGCAGGTTTCTGGGCTGGGACCTTACATCTTTGCTGCCTTCAGGATCTGACTCGCTGCTAACATCTTCTGTGTTGAGGTTCTCAAAGTCAGACTCGCCTACAGCAATAGGCACCCGTACAGTCAAGTTGGGGTTGTTGATGAAGGACATGTGGTCCTCATCAATGATATACTTCTCCACGCTGCTGCCAATGCCACTGGTTGTACCATTGCCATTCTTCTGGAAGTCACCATTCCGGTGGATGTCTGCACCCGTATGGTTGGCAATGCAGTTGGCCTTCTTTTCATATAACTCATCCAGTGGTTTCACTTCATCTGCCTCACGCTGCTTAAAATGAGCCTGCATGAAGGCATGCACTTTTACTTTGGTCCAAGCCACACCCTTCTTGATGCGAATTACTGAGATCTGTAGGTTATTCATTTCTCCATCATCATCTGTGGCTGCCAGGTTGTCTGCACTGAAGGAACTCAGAAGCAGGGCCAGAAAGAGGTTCAGCACCTATACCAGCAGCATTTGAAAAAGACATGATTATAGAATGGTCTTAGGAATAATTACCTTGCTGCACTAGGGGCTGCAAATTAGAAGCCAACAGAATTTATGTAATAGATTCAAGAATTCCTTTTTCTTTTTCTTTTGGTACTGGGGATTGAACCCAGAGGCACTTAACTACTGAGTCACATCCCCGCCATTTTTTAAATATTTTATTTAGAGACAGGGTCTCACTAAGTTGCTTAGGGCTTTGCTAAGGTGCTGAAGCTGGCTGTGAACTCACTGTCCTCCTGCCTCAGCCTCCTGAACTGCTGGGATTATAGGCATGTGCCATCAGACTGGGATAGATTCAAGAAATTCTGTTGTGTTTCTTTGGCCTGTATAGTATTTTAAATGCTCATGTCACCAAGTAGATTTTTTTTTTTTTAATTTTAATACAAGTAGCCTAGCACCTCTTTTCTTGGCTATTTTACAGTAGTACATATGGACTCCAAAATATACGATTTCTCTTACAACCAGAAAAAATAAAGATTGTATTCATTTTGATTAGAAAAATCTCTGAAAATAAAAATAGGTGGATATAGATTTTGGGGAAGGTCAAAGAATACATAGATGCCATGTATTCACAAAGAGTAGCCATGCTAGAAAAAAACAAAAAGCTAGGCTTGGTGAACCATACTTCCATACAACAAATAAAGAAGGTAGAATTCAAATATATTTCATATCATCTTATTTTAAGAATAAATTTTGAAGAGCTGGGGTTGTAGCTCAGTGGTAGAGTGCTTGGCTAGCATGTGTGAAAAACTGGTTCAATTCTCAGAATCACATATAAATAAATAAAAAGAAAGGTCCATCAACAACTTAAAAAAAAAAAAAAGAATGAATTTTGAGGCTGTGGCTCAGTATGTGTGAGGGCTTGTCTTTGATTCCCAGTACCACAAAAAAAAAAAAAAAAAAAAAAAGAGTTTTCTTTGCTTTCATAACATTTGTAAAAATAAAATAACTGCCAGTCATGGTAGTGTGTACCTGTAGTGCTGGTTACTTGGGAGGCTGAGGCAGGTGGGTAGCTTAAGTGCAGGAATTTGAGGCCAGCTTGGGCAGTATATTGAGACCTCATTTCAACAAAACAAAATTAAATAAAAAAAAAATTATAATAGGGCTGGGGATGTGGCTCAAGTGGTAGTGCGCTTGCCTAGCATGCGTGAGGCACTGGGTTCGATTCTCAGCACCACATAAAAACAAAATAAAGATATTGTGTCCACCTAAAAAAAAATTATAATAAAAACTTTAGCAAGACAGTGATGTCGTCTTCTGTGTTCATAGCCAAGTGTCAGGCCACCAGATACAACTTTATTTGTTTTTGTTTAAATTTCTTATTTTACTACAATGGACATTAAGATTAACTTATTTGGCTAGATGTAGTGGCAGATGCCTGTAATCCCAGCAACTCATGAGCCTGAGGCAGGAGGATTGCAAGTTTAAGGCCAGCCATAGCAATTTAGCCAGATCCTATCTCCAAAAAAAAAAAAAAAAGACTGGGGATGTAGCTCAGTGATAAACTGCTACTGGGTTTAATCCCTAGTACCCTCCACCAACAATTAATTTATTTTTATTAAGTCCTACTTTGAAAAGAGGGAGAAGTGCTCATTTCCTGATTTAATTTGTTCTTTACTTTGTCATACTTTGGAAGAAGAGAAGGGCATACATTTTAGATAGAGATAATAGTGTATGTTGAGAAAGAGAGTAGAAATAATAAATAAACTATAAGTATTTGGATCATCTGGGCTATTTGTAGAGTTAAAAAGAAACTGACAATGGGCTGGGGTTGTAGCTCAGTGATCGAGCGCTTACTTAGCATGCACGAGGCACTGGGTTTGATCCCAGCACCACATGAAAAAACGAAATAAACAAAATAAAGGTATTGTGTCCATCTACAACTAAAAATATTTAAAAAGAAGAAGAAGAAGGAGAAATTGACAAGCCAGGTGCGGTGGCACATGCCTGTAATCCCAGTGGCTTGGGTGGCTAAGGCAGGAGGATCAAAGCCAACCTCAGCAATGGCTAGGCACTAAGCAACTCAGTGAGACCCAGTCTCTAAATAAAATACAAAATAGGGCTGGGGATGTGGCTCAGTGATTGAGGCCCCTAAGTTCAATCTATAGTATAGGGAGAGGGGAAGGAAAGAAACTGACAAAATGGAATAGGAGAGGGCTTGGAAGGCCAAGCTGAGGGATGTAAATTGTATTTAATTGGATCTACCATTGTTTTTGTGCTACTGGGGATTGAACCTAGGACAAGGGTACTTGCTAGGCAAGTGTTCTACCACGGAACTACCTCCTCAGCTTCCCCTCCTCTTTTTAAATTTTATTTTGAGATGGGATCTTGCTAAGCTGCCTAGGCTGGCTTTAACCTTGAAATCCTCTGCCTCTCTCTTCTAAGTAGCATGATCACAGGTGTGTGCCACTATGCTCAGGTCCACTATTTGTTCTGAATAAAGGAGACACAGAGGATGACAGATTTGAGAAAGTCATTCCTATTTGCTAACATATAGAGGAGGTTTGAAGCTAGAAAGCTGTTGCAGGCATGAGCTGATGAAGTTTGGATCAAGCTCTTATGGTCCCAATCATTAGCATTTGTCAGTCTCTAGGAGGAAGCAGACCCTTGTTAAAACACAATTTCCTTGCCCTACGTTGAAAAGACCCTGATTCAGGAGATCTGGTGTAGGGTCTTCGACTGGGTTTTATTAATGAATGAGTCTTGGGTGATTATGATGCAGGTGGTCTTCAGACCACACTTTTAGAAATACTGCATGGATTACAGAATTGCAAAGGAAGGGGTAAATCATAGAAATATGATGGAGAAAGATGAAAAAAGACCTGTGAAGTAAGATGTAGTTAAGAAAGATATACTTAAGATGGATTAGTGCTTGCTGATAGTAGAAAGAAAAAGAGAAAAGGCTCCAAAGTTATAGGATCCTAGAGACTAGGTGGGCAGGGCTAAACTAGAGGGAACCTGGAAAAGTGTCATGTCGGGCAGAGATGACTTCAGCCCTGTGCTCAGGTGCCTGGAGGCAGACATGGGGAGATATCTGGGGACAACAGAGAGGGTGGTGAGGTAACGGGGCAGGAAATGTTGATACATTACATGACAGGAAGCAGGAGCGTACTCTCTAAAGGAGTGAAAACATTTAGAGACACTGGAGCAGAGGGAAAGGTGCAGGAATGGAAAATAATATTAGAGAAGTATCACGGTAGCTACTTTTACAGGTCAAATGAAAACATAGGATAGCTATGTCTGGTTCAGAGGCTGGTGAGTAGGATCCCTTGGCTGGCATATTTCTTTTTTTCTGGTACCAGGGATTAAACCCAGGGATGCTTAACCCCTGAGCCACATCCCCAGCCATTTTTATATTTTATTTAGAGACAGGGTCTTGCTGAGTTGCTTAGAGCCTTGCTAAGTTGCTGAGGCTGGCTTTGAACTCATTATCCTCCTGCCTCAGCCTCCTGAACTGCTGGGATTACAGGTGTGCACCACCTAGGTGCATAGGTGGCATATTTCTTCATGGCAGAAAACAGAAAGGAAATAATATGGATGAGTTCATAAGGGATCATTTGAGCTTGCCATCTTCCAGTCCTTCATGCTCTGTACTTGCAAGTAGGATCTGGAGACCTGATCCATAAATTGTGATTTCTCAAATTGTGGTGTGCAAATAAATCACATAGAGATCTTGTTATAAATAAATATTCTGATTTAATAGGTTTGGGGTGGGGTCTAAGATTCTACATTTCTAGCATACTCCCATGTGATCTCATTGCTGCCGTCCTTAGATTATGTGTTGAGAAACAAGTTATTAAAATCTCTGCTGGTGATTCTTCCATACACAGAGGCAAAAGACAGGCAGGTGGAGGAGCAGAGTAAAGGAAAAAAAAAAAAAAAAAAAAGATTTCCCATTTATACAGATAAAGTCAAACTCTAAGATGATTTAGATCAGTGGTTTTTCCATGTAGAGTAATTTTGCACTCCAGGGGACATTTGGCAATGTCTAGAGTCTTTTTTGGTTATCCCAATTTGGGGGATGCTACTGGCAGCTTGTGGGCTAGGGATGCTGTTCAGTTCTACAAGGCACAGGACAGTCTTACAGAGAATCTGATGTTCACAATGCCACGGTGAAGAAATCCTAGTTTAGAAAAAGGATTTTTTTTTTTTTGGTAGTTGAAAGAGCACAGTGTTGTAGTCTAGGTTCAAATAGAAGCCTTGATATTTAATAGCTGTATGATCTTGGGAAAATCACTTAAGTTCGTTGAGTTTTGTTTTTTTAACTATGAAAAAGGGTTGGCAGATTGTGTTGTGTTATGACTTAATAGGTCCTCTTTTTTTTTATTTGAAGATGGATACAATATCTTTGTTTATTTATTTTTATGGTGCTGAGGATCAAACCCAGTGCCTCACACATGTGAGGCAAGCACTCTACTGATGAGCCTCAACCCCAGCCCCTTAATAGGTACTCTTTAAAATACCAGTCTCTCCCTCATCTGCATCTTAGGGTTCCTGGTCCAAGAAAGAACTAATATTTCAACAGACATGGAAGGTGAGAGAGGGACTATGCAGACTGGGCTTCTGGGCCAAGGGTAGGATGTTCAGGGCAAAGAACAAAATTTTGTTATAAATTATACTAACCACCAAGTTGCCAATAACCATGACCATCATAAAAACAATGAGGCACATGGCCTGGCCTGCCACCTCCATGCAGTCCCACATGGTCTCAATCCATTCCCCGCATAACACTCGAAAGACAATGAGGAAGGAATGGAAAAAGTCATGCATGTGCCAGCGAGGGAGTTCACAGTCCTGGTTGATCTTGCAGACACATTCTTTGTAGCTTTTCCCAAAGAGCTGCATTCCCACCACGGCAAAGATGAAGACAATAATGGCCAGCACCAGGGTCAGGTTGCCCAAGGCACCCACTGAATTTCCAATAATCTTGATCAGCATGTTCAGGGTGGGCCAGGATTTGGCCAATTTGAAGACTCGGAGCTAAGGAGAAAATAAATCAACAAAAACTAAATGATACTCAATCCATTGTCTTATCACGTGACTAAAATAAAAACATATAAAATTCATAAGATCAGCTTAAATTTATTTAACTCCCTTGAGAAATTCCCAGTACTTTCTTAGGGGTCTTAGACTAACGGGAGAAACTGAGGTATAGATAAGGGAAAACTAATTAATTTCAGAGTAAGTGAAAATTTAGAGCTAGGATCTAAGAATGCTGCCTCTAGTACTTTGTATTAGATCCCAAATCCATCTGCTTTTTAAAAACTCACACATGAACATATCTTTTTCTATTTATTTCCCATTGATGTCTCAAGGTACATGTGAAAGAAAACATGATTTGTTGGAAACTAAAAGATCAGTATGGCAAGGACAATGAGAAGAAGTCATCTATCAAAAGGCAAGCATTTAAAAATTCTAAGTATTAGCTGGACATGGTGGTGCACACCTGTAATCTCAGCAGCTTGGGAGACTGAGGCAGGAAGATTGCAAGTTCAAAGCCAGCTTCAGCAATTTAGTGAGGCTCTAAGCAACTCAGCAAGACCTTGTCTAAAAATAAAAAATAAGAAGAGGGCTAAGAGCTAGGGATGGCTCAGTATTTAAGTGCCTCTGGGTTCAATCCCAGGTTAAAAAAAAAAAATCTCTTTTGCTTGCCAATAAATAATCAATGGCTGCTACGCAATTTTGTGATATGCTCAGAATAACTTGGAGAAAAAGTACAACTCCCAAGTAGAGACAGTTCTACAAATATCATGAAAAGAGCCTATACTGTTATTAATTCAGAGGACAAAACTCTTTGATTTGAACATTTGTTTTTAATTTAAAACTTGAGTCTCATCTGAGATGGGTTGCCTTATGTGTGTATCTGGGCCACTTATATTTTTTTCCCCTTCCTGGCTTCTAATTTATTCAGGCTATTAATTTTCTGGTTTCTCTCTTTCTTTCTTTTTTTTTTTTTTAATTTTTTTAGTTGTAAGTCGACACAATGCCTTTATTTTTTACTTATTTATTTTTATGTGGTGCTGAGGATCGAACCCAGTGCCTCACCCATGCTAGGCGAATACTCTACCACTGAGCCATAACCCCGGCCCCTGGTTTCTATCTTTCATTCCTTCCACTTATAATTGATATAATAAGAACTATTCTCAAAAAGTCAACTGTGGGATGGATCTAAACCAGTTACTATTAAGCAGAGGTTTCAGAAACTTGACAGATGTTAGATGTTATTTTTGACTTACACCAAGTGAGAGCTCTGTTTTACAAATAGTTTTATTCCATTCCATTTCTTTCTTTGATTTGCTGAATATCCTGGTGAAAAAACCTTAAATCCTTTCAGTTGCAAGTGCTTAGGCATCTTCCTGATTGGGAGAGAAAACCCTAAACTGTTCTGATGCCAATGAGGCAGCAATGAGCTTGGAGTGAGATACACTCAGTGTAATTCAGTTTCTCCAGGGACTTACTCAAGACATAACATATGCCTCTATTTACAGGTAGCTCCTTTGAGGATTTATTAACTGTTCTTTCAGGGTCATTTTAATAAATTACACATTACTTCAAATATGTTAATAAAAAATTCTTCTGAGCTAATAATGTGGAAAACCCAATGTTCAACAACTAATTTCAATATAATTTTAAAAAATTTATTTTATTCCAAATTTCTAAAAGGGGTCACTATGATAAAAGAAACAAGGAAAGCCATCTTTGAAAATGGAGAGATTCTTTCCATTTCAGGGGATGCTCAGATAAAGAAACAGTTCCCCGGTAAACTAAATTAGACCTCAGAAAAGCCCTTAAGAGGCCTTTATCTTTTAGGTTAGCATTATTTTCTGATGAAATTCCCCAAATTCATTTCTGTTTGTTTATTGACTTAAAAAACCGACTTCTACATTGTGCATCTAATGGGAAAGTTTTCAAGCTTTTAGTAGCTAAGTCAACTAAATGTCCAACTGGAATTGGGAGTAGAATATAGCTAAGGCTTTTTTTTTTTTTTTTAAACACAATTAAATTTACTTATACAAAATTCTTTCTAGTAGTTGCAAGATAGGAAATTAAAAGAAATCGGAGAAATATGGAATACCAATCGGAAAGATCGCAGCACCGAAAGCCCCTCCACGTCTGCTAGACCCAGTTCCATTAAACTGAGGGAGACAATAAATCCGTCAAAAATGTTCCAACCTTCTTGGAAATAATAGTAGGGATCCATGGCTATGAGCTTCAGGAACATTTCCGCTGTGAAAATTCCAGTGAAAACCTAAAGAGGGGAAGGCAGGAGGTAAGGAAAAGAAATAATAGAGAACGCCTTCATCACCATCATTGGATACAGTATGTCCATGAGACCTCAAGAGGCAGGCTTGGTTTCTGCGTCCACAGATATCAATACCTGGATGTCCCACAAGCACCCCATATGATGCAGGAAAATCTCCCTATTTTCCCCTTTAATACTTTAGGGGGCTGGGGATGTGGCTCAAGCGGTAGCGCGCTCGCCTGGCATGCATGCGGCCCGGGTTCGATCCTCAGCACCACAAACAAACAAAGATGCTGTGTCTGCTGAAAACTAAAAAATAAATATTAAAAATTCTCTCTCTTAAAAAAAATGTTAAAAAAAAATAAAGACTTTAGCCCCAATGTCCCCATCTTTGTTAACAATTAAAGGCAATTAAAAAAAAACAACCTAAGTAATGTTAATTGCACACAAGGTGACTCCTTTTGACAAGGGTCAGCAGTCTCTTTGAATGTATATGCTGGGGATATTTGTTTTAAAAAACCAATTGCTTTCAGCCAGTCATGGTGGTCCCTGCCTATAGTCCCAGTGACTGAGGCGGCTGAGGCAGGAGGATCCTAAGTTTGACGCCAGCCTAGGCAACTTGGTGAGATGCTGTCTCAAAATAAAAATATAAAGGGCCTGGTGGTATAGTTCAGTGGTAGAGCACTTGCCTAGCATGTACAAGGCTCTGGTTTTAGTCCCCAGTATGGCAAAACAACAATAATAACAACACAAGAAAATAGACATTATTATTGCTGTGGGTATATACATGACTGCATGACCAATGTAATTCTGCAACCTGTACTCTCAGAAAAATGAGAAATTATATCCCATCTGATTCAAATGTATGATATGTCAAGATCATTGTACTGTCATGTGTAATTAATTAAAACAAATAAAAAAAAGGAAAAAGAAAAAAAAATTTGAAAATTAAAAAAAAAAAAAAAAAGAACAACACAAGAAATCATCTCATAGAAGTAGATAGTAGTTACCAGAGGCTGGGGAGGGCAGGGAAGAGAGGGAAGGAGAGAGGTTGGTCAATGGAACTGTTACAGTTAGATAGGAGGAACAAATTCTGGAACAAGCAGGATGCCCACAGTTAGCAAAAATGTATCTTGTATTTCAAAATAGCCAGAGAGGACTTTGTTCTCATCACAAAAAAATTCTAGTGGAGGTAGTAGGTATGCTAATTGACCTGAATGTATCATTACACAATATATACATGAATTGAAACATTACACTGTACCTCATAAATATGTACAATTATGTGACAATTAAAATATAAAAACAAAACTTGTAAAAAAAAAAAAAAAAGATCATTGATTGTTATTAGCCCTCACTTGATAGTATAGGTCTTAGGAAACCAAGACATATTTGACACGATTTTTTCTTTTTAAGTCATAAAAGCAGTTGAATAGCATCAAAAGTGTGTAAAATATAGTAAAAAATACCCATAATCTCATTACTTTGCATATCATTATTATTCTTACGCATTCTCTTACTTTTTCATATACATTCTGACAGTATTAAAAATCACAGAACACATAATATCTTAGGTCTTATTTATGATCCATCTATGCTGCGTTTTTCTAATTTCTGCTTTTATTGCTATATAAGAGACTACTGGTGGTTGGGTGCAGTGGCACATGCTTGTAATCCCAGTTACTTGGGAGGCCGAGGCAGGAGGACTCGAAGTTTGAGGCTAGCCTCAATAATTTAATGAGACCCTGTTTCAAAAGAAAACAATTTAAAAAATGGCTGGTGGTATATCTCAGTGGTAGAGCACCCCTGGATTAAATCCCTAATAACACACACACACACACACACACACATACAATTATACTGGTGCCTACCACACATGAGGCCCTTGATTTAATCCCTAGCACTGTAAAGAAAAAGAGAATGTGTGTGTGTGTGTGGGGGGGGGGGGGGGGGGGATAGATTCTACTAGGTGACTATACGTTCAAGAATTTTTCTTATTGTTAGAGACTTTGGTGCTTCCTTCTTGATTTTTTTCAATATGATAATGATGTAAGAAGTGTTAGGTTTGCAGTTTATTGTGCACAAGAATGACTTATTCCCTAGGTCGCCTCCTCCCACTCTTTTACCTGACAGAGCACCTTGTGTTTCCAAGGCCGCCTTATCCTGCAGTCTTATTAAGGTAATATGCAGGTGTCCCCTATGAAAAGATGAATACCCTCTGGCCACATAACAGACTTTTACTGAAAACTATGTTTTTAGAGGGGAGGGTTTTTCATGCAATAGGTTTACAACCATCATAATAATTAGTGCTTGTAATAACTACCTGATCACCAAGTTTATATGTAAAGAAGTTTTTTTTTTTTTTTTTTTAGAGAGAGAGCGAGAATTTTTTTTAATATTTATTTTTTAGTTTTCAGCAGACACAACATCTTTGTTTGTATGTGTGAGGATCGAACCCGGGCCGCACGCGTGCCAGGCGAGCGCACTACCGCTTGAGCCACAATCCCAGCCCACATGTAAAGAAGTTTAAGAGGGCTGAGGTTGTGGCTCTGTGGTAGAGCGCTTGCCTAGCATGGGTGAGGCACTGGGTTCGAGTCTCAACCACACATATTAATTAATTAATTAATTAATAAAGGTCCATCAATAACTAAAAAGAAAATAATAAAAAAAAAAAGAAGTTTAAGAAAAGCTTTGAAGACACAGTCTGAGAATTAAAAATAGTAAAAAATGCTTACATTATAGATGCTGTTTAGAAATATGTTAAATTAATATATAGCAGTCACAAAATAGAAGGACTTGATAGAAACACATGAAAATGGATAAATGGGCTCTTAATTTTTCTATTTGAAGATGCAGTATTGTAAAATGGGAAAAAATTCCTAAAGAGATTCAATTTTGCAAAATCAAAGCTCCTAGTGCAAGCTAAGTATCTGCACATGGAATAGTCCCTATCCCCCAGGTTAAGGCCACGTAGGGACAGCTAAGCAAATGCTGACATATATTTCAACCTTTGTGTAAATCCAGCATAGTTTTCTACATCTAGAAATGTTAGCCTGTTTAACAAATACTAAGCAGAAGCTTGATCTATTATCCCATGGTCTCATGGTGAACATATAGGAAGTGCTCAGTAATAAGCACTAGCTGACTGACCATAACAGCTGCACCAGGAAAACGCTAGTTCTAACAGGGAACTCAACAATTGCAGTTAACGTGGTGCTGCCTGTAACTGGAATGAATGATTCTGGATGCCCAGTAGGAACTGTTCACAACAGAGGCCAGCTGCCACATTGCTTTGGCACATGGTATGCTATTAGTTGGGTTGTATGTCAAAATGCATCTGGAACTATTAGTTGTGTGACAGAATTATTTTTTTTTTAAAGACTGAGACAAGTGCTGGGTACAGTGGTGCATACCTATAATCCCAATGACATGGAAGGCTGAGACCGAAGGACTGAAAGTTCAAGGCCAGCCTCAGAAAGTTTGAGGCCAGCCTGTGCAATTTATCCTGACCCAAATTAAAGAATAAAAAGGGTTGGGGATATAGCTCAGTGGTAGAACACCCTGGGTTCTGTTCCTCGTATTGCGGGGGCGGGGGGCGGGAGAGAGAGAATGGATTTAAAGTTATCCCTACAGTAACACTCTTACTAGCACTGTGATGATTCTAGGGGAGAAAAAGGGACTTATAAGCAGCACATCAGCAACTGCACATAAGTGTCAATCTTGTGATCATCACCAGATATTCACCTAAGAATTTATGTTCTAATACCATCATTCTAGAAGTATAGGAGAGGATCCTTGGGGTCTCTAAGATCCTTTTAAGGTACATGTAGTCCTCCTTTTCTAACTACATGTATTGGAGCCCAAGTGGGATGGCAGGGGTTCAGCTCAGGATGGGGAGACAGTCCTTGAGGAGGCGAGATGTCCTGTAGGGGACAAGCCTGGCATGTGCTATCAGAACCAGGGAGAGGTGTCCACTTTGGGAGACAGTCCAGTGAGGGCTATCAGAGGTAGGACAAGGAGGGTGACACCATAGGATGTAGCCTAGGATGACTATACCACACAGATAGAGGCCCAAGTAACCAATATTAACTCAGACCTCTGTAGCATAGAATGGGAGGGTGTCCACATTGGAGGGAGGTAGGAGAGCTGGCAGAGAGTAAGAGCTTAAGTATGGTGCAGATGGTGTCTCCAGGGTAGGACACATGAGTAGAGTGAGGAGGAGCTCCTCATAAGGGAAGACCCAACCTGGATATCAGCCCATAGAGGGATGAGGACGGTGTTCACACAGGGAGGTAGTCCACTGCAGGATGTGAGAGCCCAGCTAGGTGAGAGGGATGTGTTCAGCCACTGAGCCAGGTGGAAGGATAGCCTAGAGAACAAGTATGGGGATGTGGAGTGAGGGGAGTGTCCATGCAGACAGGTGTCATCCACTGTCCATGGAGACAGGTAGTAGCCTTAGCAGGCTAAAGAGAGGCAGCCTGGTATGGGGAGCAAGATCTAGCAGGATAAAGAGAGCACCGTACACCTAATGCTGGGGAAAGGCTGCTGTGTGGTGAGAGGCTGTCCGTATGCAGAAGGTCCCCTGGGAGGCATCAGAGTCAAGTGGGATAGGGGAAACAATGATGGCTTGCATGGGCTGTCAGAGCTTGCAAAGTGTGGCGGGGGCATCTGTCCACTTGGAAGATACTGGCAAGGATGCTGGGGGTGGAGGCATCAACCTCTGTGCATGCTGAGGATGCCCAGAATGGAGAGTCAGTGCCTGAACATAGTGGGGAGGGTAGCCACACTGTAAGAGGTAACGGTGGCTTTCTGACCAAGTAAGTGTATCAAAGAGAGTAGCAATGAATTTCTTTCTGAGCAAACTAGAAAGTACCTAGTGGGTCCTGGACTAGAACTGGAAGTTACACTATCCTCTCATGGTTGTCAACACATATAGCAAGCTTGCTCTAAATGGCTCATCCTTTACCATGAGGGTTGTATGTTGCTCTAAGCAATAAGCACACCCAGATCAGTTTCAAATATTATTTCCATTAAAAGATCAAGTCTTTTTGAGAAATGGCTGATTGCATTTCCAAAATGCAAAATCAGCCTGCCCAGAAAGCAAGGACATATCAAAAAACAAGGATATATCAAAGCAAGGATATATCAAAAAACACACAAGTTAATCTACAGGGCCTTCCAATGGTCAAGTTTAAATGTGAAAGTAGATAACATTATTGGATTATAACTCATTGAATAGAACTGAAAACCATGAGTTCATACTGACATAAAAAAAGGAATAACTCAAAAGTTGAGTGAACAGGAAATTTAGATAGTTTCAAAATGTTTGCCTCACAAATACTTATTAATCATAAATGTGAAAAGAGTAACTCTATAGGGAGAAGCCTGGCAGACACTACCTTAATCAAATGATCAAATGAATATTATCAGTAACAGAATAAAGGGAATTTTGTGACACCTAGTAGATACAATGAGAGGAAGGCAACCTAACTTGTGTGATATCCCTATTCAAAGGCAAAACTTACATCTAATCAAGTGGAAGCATCAGACAAATGCAAATTGAGAGAATTCTACAAAATAAGCGGCCATGTAATCTTCAAAGTGTCAAGGCCATAAAACCAATAAAAGCCTGTGGAACTCTTCTGGGATAGAGAAGATTAAATAGATATGACAATTAAATGCAAAGGGTAATTTGGGACCTGCATCCTTTTGTTATAAAGATCATCACTGGGATCTCTGGCAAAACCTGAAAAGGACCTGAGAATTAGAGTTTGTAATGTAGTAAGATTAATCTCATGATTTTGACGTTATATGATGGTTATGTAGGAGAATGTATTTGTTTATTAAAAAAACTCACACACACATTAAAGTATTTGGAGTGATAAGGCTATGTTGGTAAGTTACTCTTAAAAGTTTTTTATACTGTACTTGAAACTTTTCTGTAAGGTTCAGATTGTTACTATAATGCACTAATAACAATTTTAAAAATACTCAGATTGTTTAAAAGCAACCTTATAAACTTACTGTTGTATTCATTTGGTTCAAAACAGGCAAGAAAATAATCATTACATTTACCTACTATATAATACAAAATCTATATAAGTCACATAGCCTCCCTGGGCTTCAATTTTCTTCATAAAACATGGGAATTGAATGGAATTATTTCTAAGATTCTTCCTATGATTAGCATTTTCTCTTTCAGGGAGTTGGTGGAAGAGGCAGAAAACTTCAATTTGCAGAAGGCTATTCTCATTTTCCCTCAAAAACATCTACGTGATTGATTGTCTAGGGATCAATAGAATTTAACTCACTGTCCCAGGTGCTGGGAAAAGTCTCCTCTTTCCATCCTAAGACAAGCTTGTACCTTGCTTCAACCAATCTAGTCAACCTCACTTTTTTCCATCCTCTTATTCTTAGATCAAAGATTCTATCCAAATCTCAAAATCTTTGAAAATTCTCCTACTGAATTATATTAATGCAGTTCCTAATATTTACAGGGTACTTTTAACTACCCCAAATATTTTTGAATAGGTTCTCATTTTATCCTCCCAACCACGGAGGAGATGGCATTATCCTCATTTCACAGGTGCAGACCGTTTCTCCACAGAAATCAATGTCTGATTTAAGGTTAAGCAATCTCTAACAGGAACCAACACCCGAATCTTCTGGCTTCTAATTCTGTGTTGTTTTCACCAATTCAGCACTTGTTTTTTCCTTTTTTGTGGTGCTTGGGATGGAACCCAAGGGCCTCACACGTGCTAGGCAAGCACTCTACCACTGAGCCACCACCCCAGCCTCAACACTCATGTTGATTGGCAGCAAATATGTCTTTGAGTTTCTGCTACCATCCAGAAAACACTCAAATGTACGTTTCCTTGAGGTCCAGCAAATACCCAACTTCCTTATCTGACATCTCCACTCAGTGGATAGACACCTCTCAACCAGTACGTACAAACAGAACTCTGGATTTTAAACTCCAAAGATGTTTCTTCTTCAGTAATCCCCATTTTTCCATCAGTTACTAAACTCTGAATCTAGGCATCACTTATTTTTTCCCTCACTTTCATACCCAGCCCACAGTCTGCAGAACCATTCACTACTCTATTCGGACTATTAACTGTTCAGTCACTGTCCCCTGAACTCTTGCCTTCTTGTTTTAGAACTGGGTTCTGAGTTGGCTTGCCTTGGGAGTCCCTGAGTATTAGCTGCAGACATCTTTTTCTTCACTGACAGCTGTCAGCAAAGTCCTCTGAATGCTCACAACTCTAATTTAGGTGTCATCTTAAGCCTTAGTAGACTTTTAAGGAAGGAAAATAAAAGTTATTTGCTAGCCCAGTGCAGAGGCAATAATACTGGTGGTAGGTGAAAAGGCCTCTCAAAATCCCTTTGGTATCATGGACCGATTCTGCCAAAAGCAAGGAAAAGCTCAGACATGGAGGAAAATGCAATGCTACAGAGAAAACACCACTGTCACCACCATCAACAATGAGCATCATCAGATCATGTTTCTTGTTACTAACTCTTGGCTATCTCTGATTGCTGACTGGCTTAAGATGCTGCTTGATGACCAAGGCTTCTAGTCAGTCACACAATGTCCACCACAAAGTCAGTCAGCAGGATTCCAGCACAGTCCCAAGACTGTGTTGTTTCCAAAACTATAGTTTCACTGTGCTGCCCTTAAGAAGCCTGAGCAGTCACTAACCCCAGATATGGAGACTTGGCAAGACCACAGAACCATCTGGGGTGTGTAGCAGGAAACACTACAGGCTAAAGGTAAAAGATCTTTTTGCCATATGTTTTCAGAATGGGAACTAAAAATGATATTATAGAATATCTAATAAATGGTAGGTATTGGGGGCTGAGGCTGTAGCTCAGTGGTAAAGCGCTTGCTTTGCACGCGTGAGGCACTGAGTTCAATCCTCAGCACCACATAAAAATAAAGATAATGTGTGTTCATCTACAACTAGAAAATATATATATGTAAAATATTAAAAAAATAAATAAATGGTAGGTATTATAATTAAGGTGGAAGCTCCGTAAGAGAGAACAAAAAAGATGAAACGAATGAATAGGACACTCTAAGAAGAGATCATGCTCCAGTTAAAAATTGGGAGCTAGATATAAACATACCCATGGGCAACCCCAAAGGAATAATAAGGCCCAGATGACCTAGAGGATTCTTTCTAACTCTTTACTGTCCATTAGAACTCAATCAACTCCTGATTTTCGTACCAAGGAAGTAAAACAAATCATCTCTAAATAACAAGTACTCGATTCAGAATACACTGTGTAATCTATTTTTAAAAACTGCAGCTTATTGCATTTGGGAGGCCAAAGTAGGAGGGTTGCAAGTTGTAGGCCAACCTCAGCAACTTAGCAAGACCCTGTCTTGAAATATAAAATAAAAAGGCTGGGGATGTAATTCCATGGTAAAATCCCCTGGGTTCAATCCCTAGTACCAAAATAAATAAATAAATCTGCATTCTTATGAATAATATAATAAATTAAATGTGACTTAAGCTAACATTAAAATAAATTTGGCACAGATCAACTAATAGCAGAAACTGGATGATGGCCCAGAAATTGGACGGAAAGGGGAACCAGCATAGGATTAAAAATTTCCCATAAATAATCCCCACATGGATAAGTAAGAGCTGACAGTGCAGTAAATTTCAGTGCTTAATGCACTAAAGAGCTGCCCTATTTTGTGGTGGTTGTTACTTGAGGTGAAAGGGGAAGTTATTTGCTAGAACAATGCAATGCAGGAATCAATGTGAGAAATGGAATGAGGGAAAAAAAAGCCCACAGAAGTTCTTGGCTCAGGCTGCTGAAACCAACCCACTGTCCCATTCTGTCACCATGGTTGGTTTCCTGCCAATAGCTCCTAAATGACGTCTTCAAAGTTCTGTAGAAAGAGGAAACAGCTGAGGGATCACAACAGTGAGCAGAAGTGCTGGTGTCATGGCATATGTGGAAGCATTTGTCTTCCAATTAACTATTACTTTCTTGTCAACTTGTCAACTCCAGTACCAGAAAAAGATGTTCTATAGGCAAAACATGCTCAAATCATCATATCAGGACACAGCACTCCACCTTACCAGATTTCCTACAGCCAAGACGTGCTCAAACTGTGGCGTCATAGGATGGTGCTCCATTGCCATAAAGAGCGTATTTAGAACAATGCAGATGGTGATGGCTAAGTCCACAAAAGGGTCCATAACAATCAAGTTCACAATCTCTTTGAGTTTTATCCAGTAGGGGTGGCACTCCCAGATGAGAAAAGTATTGGCAAATTTATACCAGCATGGTGGACACTTTCTCTGAGACTCTTCCAGCTCTGCAGTAAGAAGAAAAAAAAAAGGCCCCTTAATCAGAGTGAGAAAGCAAAGGGACAATATGATCTTTGAGGTCAGGTCGTTATTATTGTTATTATTATGAGAATAAAGAATATTTAAGTGTTAATATTCCTAAGTATTTCCCTCCATTCTTTCCCTTAAAGTAGAGAGGAGGCATGATCCATGCAAGTCACTTCCCTATCAACAATGATCCAGTTATAATTTATATAAGACCCAACATTCTAGTTACAGTGTAGACCACAGTAGTTAGGAGCTTAGCCTCTGGGGTCTGACTTCTTGGTTCAACTTGCTTCAACACTTACAAGTTGTGTGAACTCAGGCAAGGTAATTGATTTCTCTAGGCCTCAGTTGCCTTGTCTGTAAAACTGAGCATACACTTTTTTTAGGTTCTGGGACTAACTGAGTTGTATAACTCATTTTAAGAGGTTATATGAGTAGGATTAAGGGTTAAAGGAGATGATGCATCTAAAGCAGTCAGCACAGTGCCTGGCACAAGGCAGGTCCTCATTAAATGGTAGGGATTATATTATACATTGTAACAATAAGTTCTTATCAGAGAAGCACAGACCCTAAAGCCAGACACACCTAACTTTAATACTAGCTTAGACATCTGCTAAGTGTAGGACCTTGAGTATGTTGCTTCAATTTGTTGTGAGAATTAAAGGAGTTAAGATATCCACAAAGTGCCTAAGAACACATAGCACAGAGTAAGTTCGATGGAAGCCTTTGCTCTTATTATTATCTTCATCAGCAGGATCAGCATTGTCAGCTAGCCACCATGTGGAGTATATCTATTATGTTCTCAAAGAAGCACATACAAGTCACTGCTCCTACCTTCAGTGAGTTTGTAATTCACAGCTGAGTTAGAAATATAATTCATATCCTTAATCCCTTCTTTCCTTTTTCTTTCTCCTTCTCTCTTGCCCTTTCCTACTCTCATCTTTTCCTTCTGTCGTCGTAGTTTTTCTCTTCCCCTCGTCTCTTCTTTCCTTTTTCTCTCTCTCCTTTTGTCTCACCCTCTCTTTCTTTTAAAAGAAGAACCCCCCCCCCTTTTTTTTCCAAATAAGATCTCATAAGCCAAGAACTGCTGGAGTTATAGCAGGGTAGGAGCCTGGAGCCCTGTATAGTTGACTTCTTCCTTTCCTGAGACACCTCTCCAGAATCCTAGGTTCTCCTCATACAGATGGAGAAGCTGCTGGACTAGATGGTCTCCATGGTTATTTATGAAGCAAAAGATTAAAAAGAACAAAGGTAGAGAGTCACTCAGCTGGTAGTCACACAGCATAGGTATGAAGACCTAGGTAATAAAGTTCTCCATGAATTAAGTATGAACTGTGTAATACTTGGATTACAAAACCCCAAGGTCCTTGACCTAAGAGGATGCTTTTTAAAAGAGAAAACCTATTAGAATGATAATTCTTAGAAAGAAGGTATTGTTTCTAAAGGATTGGCTATTATAGCTTCCTCCACCCTGCCTAATCCTACTGACAAAATAAAACTCATTGTGGTAATTAAAAAAGAGCTCTCTAACATTGCCCCCCAAAACAAGATGGCAGCCATAAATCAGTCTCCTTTCCCTTTCTCCAACCAGCTGGATGGTGCCCATGGTGATGGCTTTATTTTAGATGGGGTGTTAGTTGGGTGTCTGATTGGCTCCCTGGTTGCTAAGAAAATGGTTGCCTTGGTTTTTCAGATTTAAGGGCCACAGTAAGCGCCACGTGGGAGTTTGCGTGGGAAAGGAAGTCTGTGAAGAAAATTTGCTTTGGCTTCTTCCTCATAGAACTCCCTCCCTTCCCAAGGTAAATTTAGTTTTCTTCCCCAAAAAAGAAAATGAAAAGGTTCTCTTATTTCCATAAATTCTTATAGTACATATTTGGAAATTTGGTTCCGTTTCTTTTTAAATTTCCTCCTTCTCCAAATGTCTGTAGCCCGCCAGCACCTGGAGGTTGAAGCCTGACTGTTCACATTTCTGACAGATGACACAGTTGCCATGTTTTACAATGTACTAGGCCGAAAGTCCTTTGAAATAGCAAGAGGGTTTTCCTACCCTACTGGGCACCAAGAAGATCCCTACCGGGATATTAAAAATCTCTTATCCACATTAACTGAGAAGAGGGAATCTTCAGGATAATCTTTTATCCCACAGAAACAATGTGGGGTTTAGGAGCTAGAAAAGATTACTAGGTGAATAGGGAGGTTTATAAAATGACCTACAACTTTGCAAATTGTTACTGGCTCCACTGTCTGGATGGTGAACTATCTGGTCTGGAAGAATGGGTTAATAGAAGGGTTAATAGAAGGGAGTGAGGTGTCCAAAGGTCTGTGGGTTTCCCCTATTTTTTTTTTAATATTTTTTCCCTTAGTTGTTGATAGATCTTTTTTTTTTAATATTTACTTTTTAGCTTTAGGTGGACACAATATCTTTATTTTATTTTTATGTGGTGCTGCGAATCGAACCCAGTGCCTCACACATGCAAGGCAAGTGTGCTACTGCTGAGCCACAGTCCCAGCCCTCTACTTTGTTTTTTGACATTTTCAGAGAGTTTACTGCAGGTCTCAGCCTGGGGGTACTGGGAATGGTTTTCTGAGAGAGCCTAAGTCCACAAAGACTAAGAGGTTTCTGAAGACAGGGTTTCTCTTAATTCAGCAACTTTTTTTTTATATTGAGGGTGGTTTACCACTGAGCTACATCCCCAGCCCTTTTAATTTACTTATTTTTTTAAAAAAATTTGAGATAGGATCTTACCAAGTAGTTTAGGGTCTTGCTAAATTGCTAAAGCTAGTCTTGAACTTCCAATCCTCCTGACTCATCCTCCTGAGTCACTGGGATTATAGGCTTGTGCCACTGTGCATGGCTCAATTCAATAACTCTTAAGCACTTGCAATGTGCTCTGCACTAGGGGTATACTGATGAAAAGTCCCACCCTCACAGAGCTTTCAGACCTGCAGAAAAGTCAGATATCAAACAAGTAACCGCACTGACCCTCAGTGCTTATCAGATGAGTTAAAGAATGAGTAAATAAACAACGGCAGCAACAGTTACAGCCAGTCACTTCTAGGAAGTGTCTGAAACAGTTTACCTGAGAGTAATGCCAAGTCCCATCATTAATTCCTCACTCTTACTTCCCTAGCTACCTTCCACAGCTTTGCTGCTTTGAGAAGTCAGACTACACTATTCTTTGTTTATACCCCACTCCAGACTTCTGAAATATCCCCCTCTGAAATTTATGGCTCTGCTAGTTATGAATCCTGCTGAGTTTACTTGATCCTAGGGAGTATGTCTGCAATAGGATGGGCTGAGATAGGCAGAGTTTTCTAACTGATTACAGGATTCTAGAATTCTTCACTGTAGTTTCTAGGTAGGTAGGAACCTACTTTTTTGGTTTCAAAAAAAATAATTATTTTAGGGCTGAGGCTGTGGCTCAGTGGTAGTGCACTTGCCTAGCATGTGTGAGGTACTGGGTTTGATCCTCAGCAGCACCACATATAAATAAATAAAATAAAGATCCATCAACAACTAAAAAAATATATAAAAATAATTATTTTAATCTTTGTATTAAAATAACATCAGTTTCCTAACTGAAAGTCTGGGAAGCAGGAATAATTATTCATTCATTGCTGGCTGTTAATGTAGCAACCATTAAATATGGAGGATTGGGCTGGGGATGTGGCTCAAGCAGTAGTGCGCTCGCCTGGCATGCATGCGGCCTGGGTTCGATCCTCAGCACCACATACAAATAAAGATGTTGTGTCTGCCGAAAACTAAAAAAATAAATATTAAAAAATTCTCTCTCTCTCTAAAAAAAATATGGAGGATTTGTCAGAATGGTTAAATAGTAATAGATCCTTTTCTTTTTCACCCATCTTGCTATTTTGCCCAGGCTAGTCTCAAACTTGGGACTCAGCGATCCTCCTGCTTCCAAGTAGCTGGGACCACTCCAGAATAGTCTGAACATATAATGAGTCAAATGACGATATAGGCAGAATCAATGGGAATATTGCAAAGAAAAACCCAGTCACCGACTTTACCTCTAAGAGGAGCCTGGAATGTACACCAGGCCTGGAGAAAGGGCTGATACTTGCCAGGGGCCCCATGGTCTAAGGGAAAATCCTCAGCTAATCCTCAATCTGTCACATGTCTGGAGATAACCACCTCAAATAGAGAGTTTGGCACTGACAACAACATCGCTGCAGATGTGCTATGATTCAATAGTGGCTGCTCTTTCCCTGTGGCAGAGTGCCTAAAGTAGAGGGGGTTCAACTTACCTAGTCACACGTCAAATGTATTTATGGATATGTGGGGGTGTTTGAAGAGAGGCAGAATTAGGTGCAATCAAAATGCAGAGTACATTCTTCCCTCAAGAAAACCCAAAAGGGATCTAAGTAATTAAAAGGAAGAGAAAAAGGTATGGTTTGGGGTAGAGGCCATTAAAAGGAAGAGAAAAAGGTGTGGTTTGGGGTAGAGGCCATGAAGGGGATTCCATCATGTATCTTTTCAGTGCTTGACCCACATTCCCTGATGTCTCACAACACCCCACAGGCTCCTCATGATGCCGATTACTGAGGCTTCCTGAGATTTTCTGGTTCATTCTCTGTTGCTCCTTCAGCCTTTTTACCTGTCTATATACGATGTTGACAGATTTGAAGTACTTGTTTGATTTTCTGCACATCAATTTGTGAAGAGAATTTGTGATACTGTTTTCTACAACCAGTAAGATCTATTCCTAAAACTTGGAGATAGTTTTTGAAAAACTCAGATCAAGGGACAGGGATTATATTTACCATGCACACTACATACTTATATCTCAGCAGCATCACAGGGCACATACCTTCTACTAGTGTATTTGTAACAACACTCATTATACTGTTGATTCTGTCCTTCCGTCCATAGGAGGCCAGTTGGTCCATGGACACTAAAAGAGATCCAGGGCCTTTTTTCTTAATTTCCACCTCAGTTGTTGCCTATAAAAAGATAGCAATAGGGTAAGAAAGATCTGATAAATGTAAGGCTGGGCCTTATTGGATAGATGGTCCAGAGTATGAGCAAGAACATATAATCTTCATTACTTCTTAAATTTATTTTCTAACACCAATTCAGCAATCTAGTCACTTCAAGAATGAAATAAGTTGGCTACAGTTCATCCTTAGTTGTCTAGATAAGACCAAGTCACTTAAGTTATGCAAATCTACAATGAATCCAAGAATCTGGCTGGGACCCAAATACCTCACTTGGTTAATTCCAACCACAGAGTAGAAAGACCAAACCCCCCAGGGAACTACCACTAGGAGTGGACCCTGAGTTTTCCTGTCTAATCTTACATCCATGGCATTTGGCTAGAACTGGTTCACATGATAAAATAAGTCAAATTCACTTTTACCTGAAATTTCACTGAGGCTAAGTTCCTGATCACACTGAAAATTATGGATATTGTTTCTTCCCTGGGTAGGAGCACCATTACTCTTAACAAATCATCCCTTTCAGAGACCAAATAAGCATTAGCCTAACTAAACATTAGCAAATTGAAGTTATACTTCAAATCTCCTCTGAGCCACTGTAAGAAAAACACATATGTATATATATATATGAATATATATATATATATATATATATATATATATATATGTGTGTGTGTGTGTATATGTGCGTTGTGTGTTTGTGCGTGCATGTGTGTATGTGTGTATTTTTTCCCTCTTTTTTCCAATTTTGAGACAGGGACTTGCTAAGTTGCTCAGGCTGGCCTCAAATTTGTGGTCCTCCTGTCTCAGCCTCCTAAGTAGATGAGATTACTTACAGGCACGTCCACTATGCTTGGCCTTATTATAATGTTTACTTTGCCACATCACAATTTTATTTTATGAGTTAACGTGCAACGTTCAAATTCCAAACCAAATAAAAGTGAAATAAAAATCATCAAATTGTTATAAAAATATTTGTTAGATGCTTTACCTTGGGCAATAATGGTATAATGGATTATAGGAAAGTTTTTCTTTCTTTTGGATACCAGGGGATTGAACCCAGGGGCACTTAACACTGAGCTATATCCCCATCACTTTTTATTTTTCATTTTGAGACAGGGTATTGCTAAGTTGTTCAGAGCCTCGCCAACTTGCTGAGGCTGGCCTTGAACTTTCAATCCTCCTGCCTCAGCCTCCCGAGACACTGAGATTATAGGTGTGTACCACTGTGCCCAGCCAGAAAGGGTTTCTTATTGTCCCTTATTTATGCTTTTGTGAATATTCTACACCAGATTAGCTTAACACTTAGCTGTCTAGTGACAGCTGTACCATGTCACCTATATGAAATTGTCTGCTCCTTCCACTGTGAAGGTAAGAGGACAGAGACAGCCACCAGGGGAGAGACATGTTTGTTGAGGCCTCAGAAGTATATGTCTGTCAACCCCAGAATTATTCTAGCTGTTTTGAAAATAAAATAATTCTGGTGAGCTACATTATAGCTCTGTCCCTTATACATATTTAGATTTTAAGGACTGCAAAAAAAAAAAAAAGTTCCTAGTAGATGACAAGATTTATCTTATTGAAGTGCTTCGTTACACTGTTTTACTGATCCAGACATTTGGTTCCCTCAGGGCCTTGTCTGTTTGGCAGAGCTACAGGAGAAATGGAAAGAAAAAATAACTGATTTCCTTGGGAATTCCCAGCTTCTTATTATACAAACATCTGTATATGTAAGAATGACTTTGTTGGCCTGGTGCGGTGGTGCCCGTCTGTAATCCCAGTGGCTCAGGAGGCTGAGGCAGGAGGATCGAAAGCTCAAAATCAGCCTCAGTAAAAGTGAGGGGCTAAGCAACTCAGTGAGACCCTGTCTCTAAATACAAAACAGGGCTGGGGATGTGGCTCAGTGGTCGAGTACCCCTGAGTTCAATCATGGTACCAAAAAAAAAAAAAGGGGGGGGGTGGCTGGGGATGTGGCTCAAGCGGTAGCGCGCTCGCCTGGCATGCGTGCGGCCCGGGTTCGATCCTCAGCACCACATACAAACAAAGATGTTGTGTCCGCCGAAAACTAAAAGTAAATATTAAAAATTTGTCTCTCTCTCTCTTAAAAAAATATTTAAAAAAGGGACTTTGTTAATCATTGTCTCAAATCATAAGATAAACAACTTTTTTCCTTTATTTTTTTGTGATGCTGGGGATGGAACCCAGGGCCTCGCCTTGCACATTCAGTAAGCTAGTACTCTACCATTGAGCTACACATCCTGCCCCAGAAGATACATTTCCTAGAGAAGCCACTTTTGAAAGAAATTTCAGCCTGATATTCAAGACATTTAATAAATCGAATTCAATTACTACATTTAAAAAATGATAGTCATCTAAAAATGAACACAGAAAGGCTCTAAACAATAGACTTTTTTTTTTTCTGGCATTGTACTGATTCTAGATTTTTACTGAACTACCCTTTTGTAAATCTGTTACATGGTAGATAATTTTCACAATGCTGACCTCCACAGTGCTATAAGATCTGCCAAAACAGTTGACTCATCAAGGAATATGAAGTTGCTTTTATATGGTTTTTGTACTAAGCATATCTTATGGGTTTTCTGGGCTGGCTGGCTGGCTATAACAAGATATAAATTCTTAGGATTTATCATCATCAACCTTAAAAAACAAAATTCATGAAAACAGAGTCTAAAAGACCTATTTAAACATTAGATTATCATTTAATAGTCCTTACTGGAAAGCTAAAATAATCCTTACGCTTAATACTAAGACGGAACAACTATACAACTATTATGTATATATTTTGATGTTAAATGAAAATAAACTATAGCAAGGATACATGGAGATAATGTCTGCAACATTAAAATTTGCTTTGTAACTTCCTTATAGAATACATTTTAATTTTCAAAAAAGAAATAAGTAAAAGACACCAAGAAAAAAAAAGTTCAAAACCCATGCTTGGGTAATTTTATGGGTAAAAAATTCATATGTACTCTTTCTATAAAACAAGAGCATTTGGAATAGATTCAAATAACTGGTTCATCAAAGTCTTCTGGGAACAATAAGATATTTAGAAAAAGTCCCACAACAGATTTCTAAAAAACCGATGTTGCAAAGAAGAAATCACAAGGGAAATTAGAAAATATTTAAAATCAATGATAATGAAAACACAATACATTAAAATTTATGGGATGCAGCTAAAGTAAAGGCTAGAGGAAATTTTATCACTTTAAATACTCACATTTGAAAATTAAAAAAGGCATAAAAATCAATGCTCTAAACTTCTATTTTAAGAAAGCAGAAAAAATTAAATTAAATCTTAGTAAATAGATAAAAGGAAATAATGAAAACAGAAAATTAATGAAATAATAAATTGATAAATAATAGATAATAAAAAAGTAAAATATTGGTTTTTTGAAAAGATTAATAAAATCATAATTCCTATAGCAAGACTGGCCAATAAAAACAGAAAGAAACACACATTATCATTTTCAGAAAGGAAGAAAGGATATCACTATAAATCCTACAGATATTTAGCTTTGTGCCACTTCATCTTAAGTGAAATGGTCAAACTAGTCAAAATATAACTATCAAAACTGATACAAGAAGAAATAGAAAATCATCATAGCCCATTAATAATTTAAAAACCTTACTACAAAGAAACCTCCAGCCCTAGAGGGCTCTACAAGTGATTTCTATAAAACATTTGTAAGAAATAATACTAATCTTACACAAATTCATTCAGAAAACAGAGGATAAGGATATTCACTTGCTTAATAAAGTGAACATAATCCTGATATCAAACTTGACAAAAACAGCACAAGAAACTGCTCTCATAAACAGAGGTTTAAAATCCTTAGCAAAATATGAGTAAACAAAATCCAGCAATATACACAAAGGATAATACATGATAATCACAAACAATTTACCCCAGGAAAGCAAGGTTAGTTTAGAGCCAGAAAAAAAGTCAATGTCATGCATCACAATGACAGAATAAAAAAGAAAATGAATTTGATCACCTCATAAACACAAATGAACAGCACTGCACAAAATTCAATACCTCTGCATAAAATTTCTCAGCAAGCCACAAATAGCACATAGTAGTTTCAATCTGATAAAAGATATCTATGAAAACCTATAGCCAACCAATAGCCAATGCTCATGGTAAAACATTAAATCTCTTCTCCTTAATATTGGAAATAAAGAAGATGTCTGCTTTCATCAATTGTATTCAATTTTGTATCTAATATCACAATGAACGCAATAAAGCAAAAATAAATAAAAACAATTATTTAAGTTGTTATCCACAGGAAATATTACTGTGTATGTAGAAAACTATGCAGAATTTTCCTAAAATAAAAAACCTCTGAATTTAATAAGACCAAATGTTATAATTTACTAAGGTCACATGATGCAAGATTAATATACAAAAATCAACTGTATTTCTATATTGTGGCAACAAACACTTGAAAAATCAAGTTTTTAAATTATACCTTTTGTGAAACAAGGAATAAATCCAATGAAAGATGTGCAAAACCCCCCATTATGAAACTAAGATTTTGTTGCGAGAACTTTGAGGACACCTAAATAAATGAAGAAATACACCACCATTCATAGATTTTTAAGACATTAGAATTAAGATGCCCACTCTCCCCAAATTGATCTACAAAATTCTAAGTTTTTTGATAGAAATTAAAATTCTAAAATGTATAAGCAACACTCCAAGGCTCTACAATAGAAAAATAATCTTTAAAAATGATTTAGAATAGCAAAATTATTTCTTTTTTTAATATTTATTATTTTTTTAGTTGCAGTTGGACACAATACGTTTACTTCACTTATTTATTTTTATGTGGTGCTGAGGATCAAACCCAGTGCCCCGCACATGCCAGGCGAGCACACCACCACTTGAGCCACATCCCCAGCCCGCAAAATTATTTCTTAAAAATTTTTATCCGAGGCCTAGCGGGCCTGCCAGCGTGGTAGACACATAGCCCCAATTGGAG